ATCAGTGGTATTTCATTATGCATTTTTCCTTTTGGTTTTGAATCTGTTTCTCCATTTGGGAAAGGGAGGAATGTAGATGCCCATGGCTACCATGTCTGTCCTTGAGCACATTTAAACTCTTTTCAGATGGTGACAGCCCTATGACATTTCTTTACTGAAGCAAAACCATGTTATAACCTTGCCTTTGATTAAATTGTTTTTGATTAAGTGGGTGAAGTGTGATTCTTGTGGTCTGTCCTTAAGGGTACCCAGGCTTGATCTGCTCCTGTCAACAGTGCTCACCCCTGGGGCAGAGGGTCCTCATACCTTTCAGGCCGGTCTTAGGGTTTCCACAGAGTGACTCGTAGATCTGGAGCTCTGACTGCAGGGATAGGGAGAGCTGCTGCTTTTCCTCGCACTGCTGTTGCAGGAAAGCCAGTTTGTGCTGCAGTCTGCCAAGGAGAGGCAGGGGTTCACTGAGACACACGGGGGAAATGAGCTGTGAGCCAACCTTTGCCTGTGGAATCTTAGCCCCAGGAGTCAACTCCTGGGGTGGGCTAGCCATCAGTTCCACTCAGCAGAGTCTGGGGCTGCTAAAGTAAATTAGCCTGAAGTTCGATCATTAGTTAGTTCCCTTTGCTAGCAGCAGTACAATGTCATAGGTCCCTCAGTGGCCCTACAGTGTTCTCCATGTTGACAGGCAGACACAGGGCTTCTACCGGCATAGCAGCTTAGCAGCTTATAGAGAAAGTGATGTCCTGTATCTAGTGGGAAACATGGAAATGTTCTCCTGCCAGTCACCGATAGACGGAAACCTTTGTAACACGGCTTCGTCTCTTTACTTTGTAGTACCGAAAGCTGTTCTTTTTTGCCCAAAGCGGAGTCTGCCTTTTGAATGTGACCGGTGTGGCAGGAATAGCAGAGGAGAGACCGAATTTTCCAAAGGAGGAAACTACTGTCTTGTCAATATCACTTCTGCACCGAAATTAGGGCGTTCCTTATCAAGGCCCCGCCTACCTGGAGTCCTTCTCCTGGAGCGATAGCCTCTCCTCCCGGAAATGCAAGATCTCTTCCTGCTTCTCCTGTAAGTCTTCCAGCAGCTGCTGCCGCTCAGCCTTCTGCCGCTCCAGCTCCTTCTCCAGCTCTTGAAGCTGGGATCGAGAGGAGTGCAGCGCCTCCTGCAGGCGGTCCATTTCCTGGGAGTGTCCTGATGAGCAGGACAAATGGGTATTTACATCACGGCCTAAAGCTCAGTAGAAAGTCAAAACCCAAACACACGTGAGGCCAGGGGAAGGAGGGCCATGTGTGGGTGTGCAGTCTGGCTTAGGGGACCCCACAGGTGTCTGACCCTCTGTTTAAGCATCCCTGCTCTTGCTCGCTCAACTGTCCACCCGCAGTCTTATCAAAGACCAGCACTGATTTCTCTTTTTTTATTTTTTTTTAATTTAAATTAGAAACAAGCTTGCTTCACATGTCAATCCCAGCTTCCTCTTCCTCCCCTCCTCCCTCGCCCTCCCCACCAGGCCCCCAGTCCCCCACTCAATCTCCACTCTGATCCCCAGGGAGGGTGAGCCCCTCCACGGTGGATCTCCAGAGTCTGTCATTTCATCCAGGGCAGGGCCTAGGCCCTCCCACAAGAGTCCAGGCTGAGAGCGCATCCCACAATGTGGGATGGGCACTCAAAGTCTATTTGTACGCCAGGGATAAATACTACCCAAGGCTCCATAGATTACCTAGGCCTCCTAACTGACAACCACATTCAGAGAGTCTGGGTCAGTCCCATGCTTTCTACACAGCCGTCAATCTGGGGTCCAAGAGCTCCCCAGCACTGATTTCTTTTTTATGGCTTTTAGAATATATTCTTGTCATCAATTTGAAAATTGGAACATTTGGTGCTTTCTGACCATGTGACATCTCTCCGATCAAAACTCCTTGAAGACTATCTATGGGGACTCTCCGTATGAGACTAGTGCTTGGGTATAAGTGTACGCATTCGAGTGTCTTACTATTTCTCACCAGTGAGGCTGTTCTCCCTCCCAGAATGTACTGGTAAGTTAACCTCTGGCCTCCCCCTCATCCATCAGCCTTAACGATCTTCCCCAGCAGGGGCCTCGCATCTCAGGTCTTCTCGTTCTGGAGTAACTACCTTAGAAACATCTCTTCTTGCCTTTGCTTCTACAAGGATTCCTTCATCCTTTCATATATTGCTCTTAGCCTTTTAATGGCTGTTCAATAGATATTTGTAAATAAAAATAATGTGTTACTACTAGTCATACATGGATTTAATCAAGTCAATTAATACTAAAGTAATTTGCCTCCCAGGCCACATGGGAGATGATGCCCACTTATAGAAGACCCTTAAGTAGGGTTGGGACAGTTCTAGAGGACATGGCACCATAGGAGGACTGCCAGAGAGCAGCCTGAGTGATGGGTGCAGGGGGATGGCAGAGGAACGGCACCACAGGACACAGACAGCTGCCCACAGCTGCTCTTGTCTGGAGGTGCATGGGAAAATACAGACTCGAATGTTTCCTGCTGTCCTGGATCCCAATTGCTGTGAGCAGGCAGAAGTGGGCAGATTCCAAACTGACGTGACAGCTAGATAGGTAGCCAGTTGGATGGAAGTGGGTGGGATTTCAGAAGGGATGGGCTTCCTAGAGCCATTCAGTTCTGGAACCTGGCAGCCTGAAGGCCAGGGTTGGGATTACTGAGAGCAGTGGTTCTCATCCTTCCTAATGCTCTGACCCTGTAATACAGTTCCTCATGTTGTGGTGACCCTCCAACCATAGAATGATTTTTGTTGTTACTTCATAAGTGTAATTTTGCTACTGTTAGCTACTGTTATGAGTCACAATGAAATGTCTGTTTTCTGATGGTCTTAGGTGACCCCTGTGAAAGGGCAGTTCCACCTGCAAAAGAATGACAGACCCACAGGTTGAGAACCCCTGTTCTAGGGAATAGCCCTTTGTAGACTGATTAACAATGTAAATCTTGGACTGGTAAATCTGGGTAGCTGTTACATCAGCCTTCATTTTGCTTTTCCAATTGGCTGGCGACTGTCATGGCCACGGTAGAAACAGACTAGGAGGAACTGTAGTTTGTGATTTTGCACAACCTACCTCTGGAAGCCTGACTGAGCTGAGCCTGCAGGCTTTGGTTTTCTTCCCTTAGGGCTCTGTTCTCATTGTAGAGCTGAGGCACAGACTCCAGGCCCTGACTGTAGAAGTGGGAGGTGGAGCCTGTCCCAGAAAACACACGTAAGTCCCATGTAACAGATGCTTCCCATTCCCTCAAAGATCTGCCGTCCTGGCCCAGCAGAGATCTCTGCCCCGAGGCTCTGCACACTGCTGGTGCTGGGTGCTGTGTGTCCTTCTCAGAGCTTGCAATTTTTGTGTGTACCTAGCACATGCAGGCACGGTGCTTGTGCAGGAGGCCACTTCTCTGTATCCAGCTGTGGCTGCTGTGTGGAAGGGCTGATTGCATGCATGAAGGGTGACCTTCAAATGACAACATGAGGGCGGGGCAGAGGTGGGGACTCATGGCCTCCTAAGCAAAGTGGGTGGGGTGGGTCTTCAACAACCTGGTTCTAGTGCTTACCAACCACAAGGACACAGAGAACCAGCCAGCTACATGTAAGATTAAGGACAAGAGGCCAGGTCTTGGCCTGAGGAAAGTTGGTCTCTAAGCTCAGATGCATCCTACATACAGTGACAATCAAGTGAAGTAAAGAGTCTCAGAGGGCTTTGGGAACTGTGAGCCTCTGCCTAGGGACTATTCTTCAGTCAAGACACAGGCTGGGCCTTGCCTACCACTTTCCCGGGCAGTGGAGCTGAGCCTGTGCTGCAGCTGCTCCCGAAGCCGGTCGTTGACACAGATGGACTCCTCCAGGCGCTGGCGCAGGCTCCGGATCTCACTGAGATGCTCTTCCAACAGGTCGGCCCCTGCAGTCATCCCAAGACATGGCAGAAGCTAGAAGGCTGGTTGCTAGGGTGGGTGGGCCCTGCTGGTGCACACACAGCCTGACCCTAATGCCACCTTCCTTCTGCTCTCTGTGTCCTTTCACACGGGCAACTGCACTTAAGGAGAAGGGAGGTCTGCGAGCATAGGGCAGGCCCTTGCTACACGGGCCTCCATCTACAGACAAAGGGAGCTACGTGTCACTTAGAAATAAATGACAGCTCTGGAGCCCAACTGCCACCTGGCAGGCATGTCCACATCTTGGGTGTGGTTGTGGGGAGTGACAGAGAAGACTTTACTGCCTTTTGTCCAGTCCCTTTATTCTTTTTTTTTTTTTTTTTTTTTTGGTTTTTCGAGACAGGGTTTCTCTGTGGCTTTGGAGGCTGTCCTGGAACTAGCTCTTATAGACCAGGCTGGCCTCGAACTCACAGAGATCCACCTGCCTCTGCCTCCCAAGTGCTGGGATTAAAGGCGTGTGCCACCAACGTCCAGCCAGTCCCTTTATTCTTACTGATATATGACTCGATAGTTTTTTTTTTTTTAGCAAAATCCATCCTTTCCTACCTAAAGAGAAGGCCTAAGGTAAAAACCGCATGTCTACCCACTGTAGCTGGGGGCTGATGCTTGATGTTTCCCTATATTCCTCTTAGTAGGTCAGGAATAAGGAGTCCCCTATGAATCTAGGACCCAGCAGGTCCCAGAAGAAGTACCTCAGGTTACAAGTGGACCCTTTCACTTCAGGTAAGAAATTCAGTTTCTTACTGTTGGAACGAAGCTACATCATGCTATTTGCCTCCTTATACACCTCCACTTTGGCTGACGGAGTTTTGTACTCAGGGCATATTTGAGGCGTGCAGAAGTTGTATCCCATCTACACATTTCCCAACTGAAGAAAGTGCCCGTTCTGTGCATCACCTGTGGGTCTGGAGTTAAGCTGGTACAGCGAGGAACCTGAGGACAGGTCCCCAGAGATGCTCCCTTTCTGAGGCCTCATCATGTCCCACTGGCCACTGCTACCCAGGTATCCAGGCTCGGGGATCCTGCCCAGCTCTATGATGCCCCTTGTAGGAGAGTGGGGCCGAGTGGGGTTGAGGTAGCGGGGAGAGCTAGCTTCTGCATGGCTGCTCAGCAGTGTCGCTGTGGAGGCAGGAGGAGCCATGCTAACACCTAGACAGAAAGAAACACAAGTGAGAAACAAACAGTATCAGAAGCAGCAAGGACAAAGAGGTCACTGAGAGGGGAGACTAGTGGTGGACACGGGGGAATGTCAGTACCCCAGTTCATCGCAGGCTATGAGTTAGATGAAGACTCAAAACCTCAAGGCCGACTTTCACCCTCTGCATTCCCTAGCATGAGACACCGGGAGGTGAAGACTAATGAAGGCTCTGAAAGATGCCCAGGTACATAGAGGAAACCCAGGGGCTCCACCTCTAGGTTCTACTGTTATCCCTCATGATAGAACCCAGGAAAGTTCTAGAAATAGGAGTCATCCCAAAGTGAGGGGTAAAGAATGCGATGGCCACACCCACAATTGGGAGTATCTGTTTGCCTGGATTTGCCATCCCCCCAAGCTAACCATTACAATCTTTCCATGCCTCCTTCGGGGAGATGGGGTATAAAATTCAGTTAGGTGTTCTCAGATTGAAAAACTAACCCCGTAAGGAAAGTTGTGATCTGGACTCCCCACACACAAGATTTGACAAATTTAAAGATCCATCAAACATGTTACAAGGAGGGTGGAGGGACCTCTTGTCTCCTAGGATGATGCTTTTAGAGACCCTGTAAAGCCACAGGCCTCTCCTTGAGCCCCTTAATCAGAGGCAAGTGACGCTCTGCGTAGGCTGTTTCTGGCCTATCTAGGCAGTGTCTGAAAGAGTTGAGACTTCTGCTTCTGTCTGTTAAAGCCCAGAGTAGGAAGGGGGTGCAAAGAGAAACACAGAGCCGCAGCTGAGACCACGTGGAAGGTTGGTTTCTTCCAATGATTATTAATGTGGGCAAAACAGACAGGCAGCTCCCTCTCAGCAAACAGGAATTAGTCCATCATTCCTCCAATCCATTCAGACTCTGGGCAAGAACTAGTACAATGGCCACTGACCAATTTTTATCCTCAGACATACCTAGTTCACAAATTGGGCTACATGCTAAAATCACCTGAGGAAATGTACACACACACACACACACACACACACACACCCCTGGGATACCATAGATTTTTGCCTTAATAGGCACAGATAGGCTAAGACAAACCCATTTTGTGCACAGGGTTCTCCTTCTATTCTTTCCTTTCATATGATCTGTTGATAACCATGAAAAGATAAAGGAAAAGGATGGAGGGAAGGGAATGGAAGCCATAAAACGTCACACCATTTTGACATGGGGCATATTTTTTGCGTCAGAACTGCTGGTGGAACAGTTTTAGGTACTAGCCTATCTGCTGGTCTCTAAAGAGAGTAGCTGTAAAAAATCATCAGAGTGTTGCCACTAGGTTCAACTCAAAGCTCAAGGAGCAGGGCATCTGTATGCTAGTACAAAGGTATGGGAGGACCACACACCAGAGGCAGAAGACAGGTTCCCAGCCCACCTCTTCCACTGGGAAGTTGCCTTGAGTCTTTGCTGCCTGCTCTAACCTCATCAACTATAGAGGACTCTTGGGAGGCTCTGACAAGGCCATGGGCATGTTGGGTAAGCCCTACACTGATGATGTTCTGGAGAAAGCTAATAGTAGAACATGTATTCCCCTAGATTTCATAGCCTACAGAGTCAGCAAACTCCTGAAGTCATGGTCCAGTGGATTCTGTAAATCAAGCTGGGTGCACACGAGACAAACTATCCATTTTTGGGATTGATCCCCTCCCCAAAAGGCTGATTCAAATGCCCTCAGGGCCTTTGCAGATAGAGACGCTTGGCTATGATCTGTGGTCAGTAAATACTCTAGGTGTGGAGAATCTTGCTGTTAATCTCTGGTTCACTCAAGCTCTGTTACAGGCATAGAATGTGACTCCAGTGTAATTCTCAAACCCTTTCTAGTTGTCTTTAAAAATCATTACTACAAAGTAGTGCTTTTTTTTTTTCTACACCTAAAGTGATTACATGCATAAAACCTTCCAATGAGGCACACAGCGGATCCTTTTCTATGGGACCAGGGGACAGAATTCACAACAGTTGTTTGTCACGGCCTGTGGTTATAGCTCTATCCATCTACATGTTCTGTTCCCTGTCTGGGGGCAGAATGAACCTTGAACAATAAGAAAGGGGGGCTCTAGCCTGCTCTGCTTCTGAATGTTGACATCAACCTTTACATCCTAAGCTGAAGATGTCAGGTACTCGGCTTCACTCCGTGCAGTCTGCAGTAAGAGACAGAGCAACCCCACAGAGCAGTCCATGCGTGTGGCCATGCTTTTAACAGTTATGTCACCCTTCGAGGGCAAAGCACACCTTCTTTATCCTGCCTGCCATAAAGCATTTGCCAGATTGCCAGGGATGCACACTAAGCCTAACTCTGTTGGCAGTCTGTGACCACCAGGCTCTAAGTCTCTGAATCCCTCCTGTGGCCGATGGGGCACAGCCCAGAGACAGCAGCAGACGTGTTTCAGACAAGGAGCAAGCGAGCCTTCCCTCCATCTGCCACATGTGACACGTGCCTAGCTTTCCCGTCACCCCCATCAAGCCAGAGCCATGCAGAGCAGCAGCGTGTCAGCCCGCCACGTGTAAGCACACCAAGGCAGCAGAGCTCACTTTCTCCCAGCTGCTTCTGCAGCATCTGCAGCTCCTGTTGAGCCTCAGCCAAGGACACCACCGGTGTCTCACAGCAACCAAGAGGGGGCGGGTCAGAGGGCCTGAAAGGCAGGAAGCTGGGTGGAGTTGAGTGCTTTGGTGCCTGGAAAAGGCTAGCTGGCTTGGGTATGGAGTGAAAATGAAAGCCTAGAAATGAAGAGTTAGGGAGAAAGGAGACATCATTAGAGTGAAAGCAGGAGAAAAAACAGAGGAGGTAGATCATTCCCTGATCAGATGTGGGCCTGTCAAGTGGCCAGCACCTAACGTGGTACAGGCTAAGTCAACAAGGCTGAATGCTACTCCTGAGAATGACCTGCAGTCCTGCAGGTCTCTCCTCCTTATCCATTTGCCAGGCTTGCCTGCATATATATCCTCTGCTCAGCATGCAGGCAATTGGCTACAGAGGCAAGATGGCATCATGACAGCCCTACTCCACCAGGATGGCTATGCTTACTTCCTCAAAGGCCCAAGGATGCTGGTCCTAGCATGCACCAGCCCTTCTCTCTGAGAAGACTGTCTACTCATCCACAACTCCCTTTGTGGCTGTGTTAGGATCACCCTGAGGAGGGCAGGCTAGACCAGGTATTACTAGTAGGTACAATGTGGGACTCTGGTGGGAGCAAACTTCAGAAATCCAAAGCAATGTATTCATTCACATGATGAGAAACAGCCATGGTAGTGTGGCTGAGATAGTGGCTTGCAAACCTCTGAGAAAACTATTTCATATTTTTATTAGCTAATATTACTGTATAGAAGAATGGGCTTCATTGATATATATATATATGTATATATATGTATATATATATATATATGATGTACTTTGATAGTATTTTCCCAGGGGGCTACAGTCTTGTTTGTCTTCCTTCCATTTTCCAAACCCTTCTTCTTTTAAGGCCCTACCCCTCTTTTTTCTCCTTTTCTTTCTTCCCTGTCCCTTGACAGGATCTCGCTACGCAGCACTGACTAGCCTCAGGTGCTGGGTTAAAGGTGTGTACCACCAACTCAGTATACACACACTGCCTTAGTGCATAGGAGTAGAATGATAAACTCTTTGAGTAGGACATGGAAGCTTAATTTAAAAGTCTTTCCCCGCAGTGATCCATGAAGCCCATGTTCAGCCAAACCTTTAGAAACACCTGTTGCTTTTTTCCAGTGGGGAGCAGAGCAGAAATCAATGCCATCCTGTAGGAGGTCTTACGTAGAAGACGTGACTACGTCTACAATACATCATTGGTCCCATGGTGCTGATACTGCATCAGAGTGATACTGCAGACACCCACACTGCCTAGAGACATAGCCCAGGCATCTTTTAGGAAGGCACTGTGATGTTAAAACCCCTGACCTCAGGCTCTGTTTGAGCTGAAAGCATTTAGGCAGGTTATCTGTGCTCTGGGTGAGTAGACCATCCTTTATGAGCTCTTATTCCAGCTGCTGCCCGCCCAGACCCAGAACCACTGAGTCCAGGCTCAGATAGAGAAAGAAAGGGTACATAGCCCCTCTTCCTTAAGACTGGGGTTGAACTGCCCTTGGGATGAGTGAAGGTGGCAGAAACTAGGACTGCGATTTTGAGGAATCAGACCTCATGACACACTACATGAAGGTAGCCAGCCATAGAGGAAGGCAGGAGGTGGGACTGGCTTTTCTCTGCCATCTCTGAAGTGATCAATGAAACCACTGACAGCTATGCTGAGACATGAAAGTGAATGCTCCCCTCTCATTGTCTCCGGGATCTGCACCGTGTACATATCATGGACTACCAAGCCATTCACAAATCCACTGATGGTAATATAAAAGAAGCGGCACTTAGCTATGATGTTAGCTGCATCACCTACGGAAAGAGGTGGTGGCACGAGTGGGGTTAATAAATGTGAGTTTCTTTCTGTTCTTTGGCTATTGTAATCCTATAAAAATGTTTGCTCCTGCCCCCCAGCGTGAGTTAGAGAAAGAAATGAAGATGCTTATTAAAAGGGATTAATCAACTGTTGATCCAAACTGGTTCATAGATCAAAGCGTGCTGCAGATTGCTTGTTAGAAATCAGACAGAGATGGTGAATGAGAATGGCCTCCTGATGTGTCTGGGATGTAATGGACTTAGGCTTCTAACAGTTTCCACCCTTATCCCTGAAGGAAAGCCAAGCAGGCATCTGAGAGAGAGAAGAAGCTCCTGCCCCACTGGCTGTTGCATACCTGAGTGGGCCTGGCGGGCCTCCTTGGGGATGCTCTGGGGAGTTGGCAAGATGATGGGGCTGTTGCTGGACTCGACCTGAAGCCCCTGAGACGCACTGGTTGCTGATGGTTTAGAAGACAACACAGCAGAACGACTCAAATGATGGATGGACTCTACAAAACCCATGAATGAAAGAGAATGCATGATGTTCTATGGAGAGCTGGAACCCAGGCCTTACATTATCCAGGAGTACCAGGGCCAGAGGCTGGCTGTCATAAATTGCCCTAAGGACAAGGACCATTTGCAGCATTCATTTTCTTACTTTTAGATAGCTCCTTCAGTAAGGGAACCACCCTTTGGGTGACAGAAGGAGTGGAGAACCTGGAAATCCTGAAGGAGAACACGTGGATGACCACAGATACTCAGGGGCCACTGTGCAGAAACTGTGAGGACACGAGGCATTCTACCTCAAGGAAGGAGGTCTATCGGACAGATTCAGTGAGCAGTAAAGTTTGGTCACCATCCTCTCACCCGGGATGACAGGTCACCATGTGCATGATGGCAGAACTCGGAGTGACACAATTACTTATAAAGTCAGCAATAGAGCAAGGAGCTAACCAATGGGAGCCTGGGCTTGGGACTTGGTCCCAGAGCCGTGTTCTGTTCAGTATGACACACCCAAGTGGACTATAAGGCCTGGATCCCAAGGTCTCCTCTCAGTCTAGACAGAGGAGGTGCCACTCTGACGGCAGAGGCTACCTGAGTGACCGGGTGAAGGCTTCTTCTCTTCATAGAGTGTGTACTCGCTGGCTACGTCCATGTCAGAGCAGGCCTCAATCTCGTCAGACAGTAAGGACGTACTGCTGGCAGAGCGGTGGGAATCTGACAAGGCGTGGCTGCTGGGGGGCGAGAGAGACCGGGTGTCCAGCTTGGCCTGCAGGACTTCAATCACTTTCTCCTTCTCCTGTAGCTCCCTGCTGAGCCTGGTGGGGAGCAGAGCAGACCACAGGTGAAGCCAAGGTCACCCAGACCTCACTTGTCCTCACTAAAGCCCACAGGGAAACCCACGTAAGCAAAGGGCACCATTCCGTATAAATGTAAGAAGGACACATCTCTAGGTACGTGTGGCGTAAACAGATAGACAACAGTGGCCACTCAGTGCACAGGCCACATGCTGACAACAGCAGAGGCACAGCCTGTCCTTTAAGGCATGGCTACTTAATGGGTGGCCCCCAAAACAGCAGCCGTCTGAGGACTATTAGCATCTCCAACAGATATAAACATGAAAAGGAAGCCTTGAAAAATGTGGAACAAACGTCCCAACATCCGAAACTACGGTAAGTGGAGTTATCCAGCTGACGTAAGTGTAGGCCCTTTATGTGTGTATGATAGATGACCAACAAAACCAAAAAGAACCACGAACACCGTGTCCTTCACCACAAATAATCTGAGGGGCACTTACATGATTTGAGGCACAAACATGACAAAAAGAGCTCAAGCCAGTGGCCATAAATGACCCTGAGGCAGTGTCTTCATGAGCACTACAGACTGAATATTCCCCCTAAGTTGTTGCCTTCCAGGGACCCCCACCATCTCTACCCCTTTCTCTACATATAGTCAAAGGATTCTTTTTTTCTCCAGGGACATTAAGTGACTGCTGAGCTAGCTGTCAATAAAGTCTAGGGCAGGCCAACCTTGCAGGAAGCTCATGGTGTGGGAGGTGCAGAGAAGGGGAGGAGACTCTTGAGACACACGTGGTTCATTCGTGAGTCAGGACTGCCTCTAGCTTACCATCCCCGAAGCACTACTGTGGCAATGACTCATATCAAAAGAAAAGGAAGAATTTGGATAAAACAGTAAGTGTTCAACAAACAAATGAATTAATCTCATTCCGTCTTCCCTCCTGGCCTGTGAACTCGGGGTTACCCTGTCTGTGTCCCCTTACCAAACTGTCTTCTGAATTACCTGAGGGCCAGCGGCTCAAGCCCAGCTTCTTCTTTCTCACTTTTATGATCCTCTGAAAATCAAATTCAGAAAGAAACAGAAGTTAAACAGGTCCCATGTCACATATTAGAAAGCATGGGTCCCACTAGAACACAGAACTGTGATTATGCCACACATAGGTTCAGGAAAATTGTTTTGATTGCTCAAGGAGTGTGTGTGTGTGCGCGTGTGCGTGTGTGTCTCTATGTGTGTGCCTCTTTATATGTGTGTGTCTCTGTGTGTGTGTGCATGTATGTATGTCTTTGTATTTGTGTCTCTCTGTGTGTGTATGCCTCTGTGTGTGTGCATGTATGTATGCCTTTGTATCTGTGTGTCTCTGTGGTGTGTGTGTGTGTGTGTGTGTGTGGTGTGTGTGTGTGCGTCTACCCACCCATCGTTTTCTTCCTTCTTTTTTGAGACAGTCTCTCATTAAAATTGAACTCATCAACTAAGCCAGGCTGTCTGGCCAGCAAGCCCAGGAGACCCATGTGTCTCTGGATTCTCTGGGGCTGTGATTACAAGTGTGTGTTACCATATACAGGTATTCTTATGTAGACTCTGGAGATTGAACTCAGGTCTTCTTGCTTACTGACTGAGCTGCTGCTTCCCCAGCCATAGGCTATGTCATTTTTTTTTCAACCAGCATAAATTAACTAAACAGAATGATGACTTTCATGATGAGACTTCCACAGATGTACATAAGATACTTGGATCATAAACTCCTCTGTGGCTCCCACTTGTCCTCACCGCTCCTGCTGGGCCCTCTTCTGTTCCCTAGTAACTAGCCTCCTGCTTCCATGCTCATTGTTATATCTGGCAGCTTGACTCCTGATTCCATTTGTGAGAGAAGGCCTATGAAAACCCTTCTTAAGGGAGGTGAGCAGGCAGCTCACTGAAGCTCACCAGTGAAATCACCCCTGACCTGATGCTCACAACCATGACTTCAAATGTCCAAACTGGGGCTAAAAACTGAAATACATTTAATCTCACTGATCACAAGACCCTTCCCCAGCTATTCTCTGCAACATGAGACCACCAACTCTTTCACACCAGCCTTCTTTTGTATCTGAGATGACAAGTCCCTTTTCCTGTATGTTGACCCAAATTCATAATTTTACAACTGGACCTCTTGGGTTCTGGGATTATAGGAGTGCGCCACTATGCCTAGCTCTACAGCTGTAACAACCATGCTTGGTGCTGCTCTTGGAAATCCTGACTCAGAAATGACCCTCAAGACATGAAGGGAACCTGAACTGTGGGATAAAATACTGTTGTGAAGAAATGGTAGCCACCTGAGCCTAGGACTGTGCCAGTAATCAACTTACTAGTGCTGAGTTTGCAGGTGAGTCTCTCCATCAGCTGACCCCCTTGGGCCAGTTGCTCCCGGAAGCTCTGGCCCAGGTAGTAGTCAATGTCATTGCTCCTCAGGAGGTCCTCAAAAGACTTTATTGTGTCTTTCGCATGTTGTGTGAGAAGATAACAAATGCCTCTCCCTTCTCGTATTTTTTGACGCAGATATGATAGTTCTCTGGCCTGATCCTGAATCAAAGAATCATATTTTCTAATGCAGGAAAGAGGGGAAAGGAAGAATGGAAAAAGAGTGAATTGTAAGTTATGGTGGCTTCCTCAGTGAGACCATACCTAAGGGACCCCCTGACTTAGGAATTACATTATTCATGGAAGGTGTTTAAAAGCAAATTCCACACTAAAATTCTATGGCACCAAAACATTTAGAAAGACATTGTTCTTAGCTCTTCTATTCAAAACTAACCCATAAGTTCTATGAGAGTAAAGAAAACCCCACATTTTACATTTCATACGGCTCCATATATTGTGGACACCCAGTAGATACCCTATAAATATTTATAAGTTTTTAATCCTAAGCCTATCTAGAAATTTCTCTATCTTCTATTTCAAATGCCATAGGATGCATGAATTTCTTCTATGCTCTGATTCTGTGGCAGATGGCATTTTGCAAGCATAGTAATTACAGTCTCCCATGTTATATGCTCTCCTGCAACATGGCTTTGCCCGGCCTCCATTGGCGAGAAAGGTTTATTCTCTGCATAGTTGTGTCTGGAAGACTCTGTGACCATTTTAACCTGGATAACCTGGGGGCATCACTGTTTTTCAGCTGCCTGGTGAGATGTACTTCCTGTCCTAGATACTAGCTTTCACATAGAAGCAACACTGTGAGACTATCACACCATGAGAAACCAAAGTCAGAGGAGACATTCTTGACAATAAAGCCACATGGAGAAAGGAGAAGAAGGTGCCTAGGCATGGATAAAGAATCCATGCCCACCTCAAAAGGGCCTTTCAGGTTACTCTGGCCACAGCTTCGACCAGACAGTGGCCGCATAGGAGATCCAGTCAGCCCAGAGAGCCACTAGAGGTGGTAAAGTCATCATGCTTTAGAGTGATTTATTATTAGCAGTAGAATCAGGACAGAGGCTGAGTTGGGTGTTTACTCAATGGTTTTCAGCATAAAGTATTAGTAACCCTGATAACTGAAAATAACATTGAGAGCTTAATATGTGCCAGATATTAGATGCACATGTAATAAATAGTTCAGTTAAGCCCAGTAACTGTCCTTGAGCTGGGTTCTCTCTTATCTTCACTTCATAGATAAGTAAATACATGGGGGAAGGTTAAATAGTTTGCACAGTTCATAAGTTGCAGAGCTGGGGTTTCCAGTAAGGCATCCGAGATGAGTTTCACTGCTGCCCGGTACCACTTAAACTGTCATGTTTTTAACATCTGTAACAGGACATCCCAGAGATCTGCTGCCACCATTCGATGTGGCACTGCTGGCCCTGTGTCTCCCCTCAGCTCAGCCACTATTTAAGCAGTGCCCTTCTGATTACCTGGATACATTCTCCCTTACAACTGCCAGAGCTGCTGTTCCAAGCACAGACTTAGACATCAATCAAGTGGGGGCCTGAACAGTTCCCCCCTTACCCAGGCCACGAGGCAGACCTCAGCTCCTCAGCCAGCTTCCCCTCTAGTCCAGTTTTTGGGAGCTGGGCCTCCAGCTGGGACACTCTCTGGATGAGACTCTCCAGGTCCTTTTTGGCCTGTAGCCCTGGAGGGTAAAAAGCCCCAGTGCCATCAGACAGCCACCCTTCATCTTCATCAGTGACACTGCGAGGTGAAGACCCCTCAAGGGTTGCGATGGTTCTCAGCTTCCGGGGTCTCTCCAGACTAGAGGAGTAATCACTTGTGGCCGAGAGGGACCGAACCCGGCTCCTGAGGTTCTGAATGACTTTGTTGGCATTCTGGAGCTGGGCTTTCAGATCTCTGATGTCCTTCCTCAGGATAGAGCTGTCGTCAGAATTGCCATGCACCTGGAACTCCTCCTGCCTCCCCAGTTTGTTCCCGTACGGCTTCTTCGCAGGGGGGCTGGCCAGGACGGGGTCCAGGTAGCCCTGCTCAGAGCACAGCCCCTCCATGAGCATCACGGGTCTCGGGCTATTGTGCTCCTCACACTCTGAAAGAGAGAAAGACATTTTCCTGAAGAAGAGCTGGAGGTGCTGGGGTGGCCGCTCCATAGTGGGGAGCAGGCTGGTCACAGGATCAAGTGCTGGGGTAAAACCTGGAGCAGCCTTTCGTTAGGTCTGCCTGTACGCTGGGCACTCAGGTTTAGCCTTTCTTCCTGAGCAGGCCTGTGAGCAAGGTGCAGTCACTTTTCATCTTGTTGGCTGGAGAACCCAAAAGGCTCTCCAGGAGGGGATGAAGGAGGTTCGCTAGCTAGTCACAGGCCATGCAGGACACACAGCCCTCCTGTGTCCTGTGCCCCAAACACACAAGTCAGTCAGTGCCTCCTAAGTGAGGCATTAACAAAGCCTTATACCTTTAAAATGACCTAAGGACTACAGAACACAGTGCTTCTGCAACATTCCCTAACAGTGCTATAACTTAAAATTGTTGGGTTAAAACAGGCAGTGGTGGCACATGCCTTTAATCCCAGAACTCAGGAGGGAGAGGCAGGTAGATCTCTGAATTAGAGGCCAGTCTGGTCTACAGAGCAAGTTCTAGGACAGGGTCCAAAGCTACAGAGAAACCCTATCTTGAAAAACCAAAACCAAAACCAAACCAATCCAAAACACAAACAAACAAACAAAACAAAAAAGAAACTATTGGATTGTAACAGCATGAAGAGTAGGCCTAGGAAAACAAGACCTTTCAAACAGGTCACTATATTACCACAAGCTGTACCAGGGCAGTGGCAGCCAAGGTGACAGTCATAATCACCATTTTACTAGTAAAATGTTGGTCAGGGTATTTTACTAGAATTTATTCATTTAATTGATATGAGTACCCAGTGAGTTGGACAGTTGCTTTCTTGCTATTTTAGCAGATGAAGAAACTGAGGCACAGGGAAAAAGAGAGTTTGCACCAAGCAGTCTGATCTTTGGATGCCTGTCCCTAGTTGCCCCACTGTACAGCCTCAGCTTCAAGTCTGTAGGAATGCTGTGGTTCCCCGTAGTCTTTTGTGAGTACAAAATTTTAAAAAAATCCAAACTTGAAGTTTAGGTGTACATTAAAGCCCACAGATCACTTTCCTAATAAAAAGACCTAGGTATTTTTCTATAATAGCAGTTATATTGAATTCTTTTTTATTAGCAGTGTACTAGAAGCTGTAGAAGTTCAAACTGGTTGCCTTATTTTGAAGAGTTCTCCCAAGTTCCTGTCCTTCTCTGCTCCTGGGTCTCCTTCAGTCACAATTCCCCTGCCCTATACTCATCCCGGGTGGGAGTGGCCTACGACATCCAAATGCAGCAATATGACTCCAGGGCGAGCAGGGGGCCCCTGTGTACTTACCGGGGCTGGTGGTCTCGTCACGTTCGGCTTCATTCTCACTCCGGCCACAAGTCTCATAGCCCAGGTCTTGAAGGTCCACCTGGATTTGCTTGCTGTCCTGTTTCACCAGGGATTCACCTGTGTTTGGGAATAGGCCGTGGGTGGTATAGAGTCCCACGTGTTACCCCAACCTCAATGGCACAGACCCTGGCCTTTAAGTCCAAGAAATCAGAGCCAGACTGGGGAAGAGGTTTTCTTGGACCTGATGGGAGAAGATACGGCCTGCCATAGGTTATACACACCCTCCCCACCTGGGTGAGCCCATGGTTGCCATGGAGAGGCTCTCTTCTTAAAACCGAGGCTTAGTTGAGACTAGACATGGACAAGTCAGGAATTGCATGTTGCCGTGTCAGGAAGCTCCAGTGAAATCATTAGGCCCTGTATCTATAAAGTCTTAGTTTCCATGGAGCTGAGGTGATTAAGAGTCTTTAGACATCTAGCCCTGCCCTGCCCGATAAGGCAGCACTTACCTACTATGGATATTCTTTATTTAACTAACCAAATTCAGCTCTCTAAGTTCACGTGCCTTATCAATGCAGCACTGTCCCTTGGATAGTATTGATTCTAGAGCAACAGGGAAGCTGGGAGTTTGCAGGATCTGTTATGGTGCAAAGGAGGGGAAAAACACCATGGAGAGAGCCACGCCAGCTTACTGACAGGCCTGGAAACCAGCGAGCCCAGACGGTAGTCTGTTTCAGTCCTTATTTTCCACCCTAGACTTAAAGATGTGTTTATCTTTATTTTACATGTAACGAATGTTTTGCCTATGTGGACACATGTGCATTGTGTGCATGTCTGGAGGCCAGAAGAGAGTGTTGGATGCCCTGACCTGTAGTTACAGAGAGTTGTGAGACACCTCATGGGTCCTGGAAACCAAACAGGGGTCTTCTGCAATAACAGCAACTGATCTTAAGCACTGAGTCACCTCCAGCCCCTTTGCTGTAATGTTAAAACCTTGTTTTCTTCCTTTATTATTAGTTACATCCATGTACAGGTTGAAGTAAAATATTCACACACAGTTCTAAGACTACAGTCATGACTGAAGCATTCACAGGTTGGGGTAGAGAGATAAAAGCTGGGAAACAGGTGACATCACGGGGAGAAGACACTGGTGACCATGAGCTGGTGACACTCACTGAATATGGCCCTGTACTTCTCCAGCTGGTTTGCCTGGGCAAACACGGTGGCTTCTGAGATGAGTAGTTTCTCCTGGAGGTCTTGATACCGTTGTCTGCACTGAGCCAGCTGGGAACGCAGGTGTTTGGTGGACCCTGGTAGGCTAAATTCTGGCTGGTGTCCAGAGTCTTGGGCCTGGGGTTTGTTCTCCAGCTGTGGAAGGACCCAGTACAAGGATCAGGTTACCCTCTATGTGGTGACAGCCACCTCTGTGTCTGAACGCTGTGGACTGCATGCATTCTGTGCTTGCCACAGCAGCTCTCATGCCGTTTGGCAGTTCTCTGCCTTCCAGGCAGCTCCCAGGGAGCTGGGATGACGTTATATTTATGTCTCTCTCTGCAGCACTGCAGCACAGGCCAGTCAAGTCTCCAGAACAGGCCGGAGTGAACATTTACTCAATCGCTGGCAAGGAAGAGGTGGAAATCTCCACTCCATCCTCTCTCCTTCCTGTCCTTCTCAGAGTTCTCTTTCAACGAATCTAAGGCAAAGTTCCTTCCCTCAGAAGGGTATCAGTGACCTCTCACGAGGCCATAACACAGACACTCCGGAACCTCTGAGGAAGCAGCAGCGGTAAGAAGATGGCACACCATTGGTCTGGCCTCCATCGAGACCCAGAGCATCCAACAAAAAGTCACAGTGTCTGAACATTCTCCTCCACATGCTGAGCACCTCAGCTCATAACCCACATCTAATGCAGTGTGTAGCTAGGAATTAAATGCTCGGAAACACCCATTCAAGGGTGTGGAACCCTTTCTAATAATGCTGAATGGATGCCTCTAACTACAGAGCCCTGCTTGGAGCACCAAAGCACCTCCCCCTCAGTCCTTCCTGACCCATGTGGCAGAACAGTGTAACGTAAAAACTGAAACCTCGGCCCTTCTTGGAGTTTCCCACCTTGCCCTGCCCTCACTTACTTGGTGGGTGTCCACTGAGAGGGCTGCCCCGAGACTGAGACTCTGGGGTCTGCGGCCAGGCCTCGTGGTCACATTCTCCTGCTCTTGGTGTCGATGCTTGCCAGGGGAAGGCAGGCCCGTGTTCATTCTGTCCACCTCCCTGGCCAGGCGCACGAGGAGCTCTGGCATCACTTTGCTGCTCCCCTCCGAGCTGCTCAGGACCAGCTGTTCTCTGAGGATGCTGATGATGTTGTGGGCACTCTTGAGCTTCCCCTGGACCTTTCTGAACTCAGCCTGAAGGCTGCTCTCATCCACACCCGCTTTGGCGTCCACAGTCTCCACCATCGCCTCACCCTTCTCCTTGTCTTCCTCGACCTCCCATCCGTCAGACATTGCTTCCCCCATCTGCTCTTTCAGCTCTGCATTCTCAAGGCAAAGGCTCAGCATGGTGTTCCTGCAAAGGGCATGCGGTTAGTGGCCAGGTTTGGCTCCGCCCACAGCTCTGCAGAGACCTTTTCACCCACATCTTGGTGCATGACAGACTCAGAGCCATTTGGGTGTGTAACTGAATCTCAGAGACCTGTAACACACCTCACTCATACATGAGAAGGCCCAGGGAGGGAATGGAGAAGAATGGCGTCACAACACATGCTTCCACGGCTGTTTGATGGCAGCATTATTAAAAGATCACAAAATAGACCCCTGTCTATATTTCTTTACTTAGTCACACAGTTTCACATGGTTTAAGATTCATGACCTCTGGAACACACAAGCAAACCTATGATATCAAGCTTTAGTTAAAAAAAAAAAGGATAAATTCTGCCTATGACAAATTTGTTATTGTGGATTTTATCACTGTATTACTTTTCACTGATTTTAAGTCACCAAGTGATAAATTGGGGCTCAGGAATACAAAAGAATAAATAATACTAATCAGACCTGTAATAAAAATGTAGTTATTTAATTGTTTGCCATATTTCTGGCCCATGCACTGGGATACAACCTTCCAGGGAGCAGATACCGCGCTTGCCCTGTTCATTTGGATTTCTGAGACCACCACACATGCCTGACACTTATGTAAAGCATCTCGATTTGTTGGAGTAATGAAATGGACTAAACTGAGAGCACAGGGCTAGAAGATAGACAGGCAGACAGACAGACACATTCACACCCTAAAAAATTAGTACTTGGGTATGCACCTAGACTAGGTTTCTCAGAATCCTAAAGTTTTCGAGTTTCAAGCAGAAGTTGTTAGGTATGGACTCATGGGAGAAAATACTTTGGGACATAGAACTCAGAGAGATTTTCAAAGGAGAAAACAGTACATGTCTGTTCCCAAAATTAGCATGTAGGAAGGAGAAAAAAGAAAGGTATATAGAAAGGAATATTTAGCTAGTTTCAAATCTTTCTGTTTTATGATGAAGCTCGATGTTTTCACACTATAAACTAATGAGTGTAAAGTTTAACAAGGGACTGAGTGGTAGGTATATTCTATTTTTTACATCAGTGTTTAAGATTGAGTGCAGGGTTACAGAATTCAGATTTTCAGGTTAATAATGCTATAGAAAAATGAGTGTGTGTGTGTGTGTGTGTGTGTGTGTGTGTGTGTGTCCATTTGAAGACTGGAGGTTAAAACTGGTATCTTTTTTGATTGATCTTTACCTTCTCTTTTGAGACAGGGCATGTTACCGAACCAAACACTACAGCTAACCAATTTATTGGGCTGACCACTCATGAAGTCCCAAGGATCCTCCTATTTTCCCCTAGTGCTGGGATTTATTGGTACATGTGGCTGCTAGGGATTAAACTCAAGCCCCAATGCTTATGTGACAAGATTCTTTCCAGAATCTTAATTGTTTTATATATTTCTATTACTGTTGTTGTTGTTATAGAAAACATAGAATATAGAAGAAAGGCTTGGGTGTTAACCAGTCAGGAGGGAGTACAGCTGGTTGACTAGCTCAGTTAGTTAACTAGTTAGTTATATATCTGGGCAGCGATAGTGCACATTAGTATACCAAATTAAGAGCAGATTAGTATCAAAGGTGGTCATTACCTAACACCATTAACCTTTCTCTAAAGAGTTTATAAAAACATGAAGGCATGGAGCCTGTGCTGTGCATAACCCAGGTCAGCTCCGATGTCTTGGATGGAGCAAGGTGAGCTCGTGGCTGAGGTCACTCGTCATCCTGGGAAAAGTTGGGGCATACCTGATGTGGGACACAGAGGAGAATCCTGCTTCCTCGATTTGAGCCTTCAGCTCCTTGAGTTCCCCCTCAGCTTTTCTCTTCTCCTCTAAGTGCTGGTGGACTTCAGCCCTCAGGTGGAGCAGTTCTTCCTGAAGACACCTGTTACTGTCCCCTCCTGCCGGGGAAGGGGGCTGAAGACATATGTTCTGGGTCTCCATGGTCACCAGGCTTTTCTCCAAGGCCACCTTGATGAGCTGAAAGAAACCATGGTTTAAAGACGTTAGGTCACTGAAGGGGACCCAAGAGCACAGGCAAAGGCAGCTCCTGATGGAAACAAAAGACGAAACTCAATGATGCTCTCTTCAAGTCAGTCTTAAGGGCCCTGGGGTTGGTTTGGGAAGCAAAGACCCCATGTAGTGAGTGATGTAGTGAGTGGGAAGAACTTGCCGTCTGAGGAAGGAGAGAGTCCAGAGATGGAGAGAAACACACACACACACACACACACACACACACACACACACACACACACACACACACCGAATGCAAACAAATGAGGTTTAATCTGGTCTATATCTGCCAATATTGTGGTGCTTCCCTTCATAGGGGTATAGGGTCCCCCAAAAGTCTGCTTCAAAGTCAGAAAGCTTTACTGACCCCAGAGCACTGGATGATTGACTGTGAGGGTCGTGGCTCAGGATGCTAGGACTCAATGGCTAAACCCCTGCCTGCAACTGAGACTCAAAAGATGAAGACTCAGAGTGCCTGCAGCCACTCCCAGAATTAAAATATGGAGCTAGAGGTAGAGCAAAGCAAGGCCAATTCCACTGACAGCAGGAGAATCACCTATAATCACAGAGTTTGAGCTTAAGACACCCTACTGGACATCTTGATTAACATCTTGTGCCAATTCTGTCAGCTAAATTCTATAAATCTGAGCATGTGAGAAGAAAACAAAGTTGAAGATTTCACAGTGTCTTTCTTCTCCCAAATGTTTCATCTAAAACAGATTTTAAAGTGCTTTTCCCAAGTGGAAGGTTGGGAGTGACTTGTTTATCAATACATGCTAGGTTTATCTCTAACTATTTTCTGCACTTTTATAAGGGTATTAATACAACTCAGAATTTGGGTATGATGACCTACACAGCATATGACTACTTTAATATGAGGATTTCTTCCACCTTCCTCCCTCCCTACCTTTTGAAACAGGACCTTGCCTTACAGCTCATATTGGCCTCAATCGTGCTAATATCCCAGGCTGTCCTTGAACTCTTGGTTCTCCTAGCTTATCCTCCTCGGTGGTAGGTTTATAAACAGGTGCTACAGCACATGTCTCAACAATACTCTCCATACTTCCCAGTCACATTGACTTCTTTTTCCTCTCAGTATACTGTTTGAAGTTATACTCAATTTCAGGTCAATTTTGACTGTCACCTTTCACGCCTCCACATAGGAATTTCTGTGTTATGCTATTTTCTTTTATCTCTATGTTTGTCACTTATAAATTTATTCTGGTCATATATCATCATGTACCAATTACATAGCCACTAAAATAGCTAATGTGCATCTCTATAACCCATGTAGTGGTCACCTGACTAGAGAATGATTCACACAATGAATTATATGTTCTATAAATTCATCTAGGTCACTAACATATTGAGCACAATAGGACCCAGAGCAAGGTAAATGGGTCAGTGATTGGTAGAGCAGCTTGGGTAGTCACAAAGCTGTTGACTTTTGCTCTTCCTCATAACAAAGCTAGGTCATGCCTGTACTGTATGTTTGTGGTAGTGCTCATTCATAGCACACGTGTAATGGTATTTAGAGCCACAGCAATTGAAACTGTCAAGTGATACACAGTCATATAGAACATAGTCCTAGACACAGCTACTCAGTCTTTAGGCATTCAATCCCATCCAGGCTTTGAGAGTCCAGCAGTGATCAGACAATAGACAATGTCTGTCTGTAAGACTGCTGCCTAGAATAGTCAGCTGCTGCCATCTCCATGTGTTGTTACCCAGCAACTGTAATAGAATAAAGGACTGGGTATTGGACAGGACCCTTTTTAAGACTTATTACCACAACTTTCACTTAACTATGTTATGTGCCAGGAATGGTGGCCCATGCTTGTAATTCTAGCACCTGGGAGGCTGAGGCAGGAAACTAGAAGCAAGGCTGGCCTGGGCTACATAGTGAGGCCACTTCAAAAGCCCCCCACATAATGAATAGGTAGACAAAAATACACAAGTAAACTTTGTGATGTCACCTCTCTATATAAACCATTTGCAATGAACATAACTAAAATCATCATCACACTTGAATATGGACACAATTTCTTAACTCTTTTCTTAACCATGAGTGTTGTTTATGCTTAAAAATCACCCAGCTTTAATGAGGTCTACCCACTGTTAAAACACCTTCCTGTGTGTGTATTCAATTGGTTTCAGCATACTTATTTTATTTTAAAGGGAAATATTTTGATTCATGAAATATGGATGCCAGAATGACCTGAAGAGTCATTAGGCCTGATTTCTTATTTTAAAATAAGAAGGCAAATCATCACATAGACACAGAGGTGTCCAATCTTATGATGTGGTAATGTGACATTATAATCTACAAATGTGCAGGGCTGCATTCACAGACATTCCAGAGCACATGGGGCCATAGGTTGAATGTATCTGGTAGATTTGGCCATTATCAGCCTAATTGGAGTTTTCACAGCTCTGAAAGGAAGCCCCCCCAACTTTATAATTTAAATGTAAACATATGAAACGTGAGTTAGGATCTAGACTCATTAGCTTTCACTGTCTATGAAAAGCAAATATTCCTGTTCTTTTCCTCAATAAAACTCCTATCCAGTGTGAGCAAGGCTAGTGTGACTCCTTTGGGTCCGGTTAAGTTACAATTCTCTTACTGCTTTTCTCTTATCACCTAACTCACGTGTGCAACTTGACTCTGTTTCAGGGGCCAACTTCAGAGTTGCACTCTCGCTTGAATGGAGCTGTTTCGTTTTCACCCTCTCTCTTCATAGTTCCCACAGCGAAGGTCAGTTTTCAGACAATATTAAAGATATTCAGAAGTCATCATTTCTCAAATAATCAAGTGTCAGTCACCACCAGGAAAACAAACAACACAACCACAGGGAGCTGTCACCTCACATGTATGAGAATGTGTTGTATGTATTTTAAGAGTGACAACATGCATGAGGTACTGAGCCCTCTCCTCAGAACAACAACAACAAAATGGAAGAAGAAAGAAAAGAAAGGAATAAAGGAAAGAATAAAGAAAAAAGGATGCTAAATTAGTATGCAATTATAGAAATGGTGTGACAAGTAGTTAAAAAAAAAACTAGACAGAACTACTATATGACCCCGGATTTCCACTTCTGGGTGTATACTTCCAAAGAAACTGAAATCAGTGTGTGAACTGGTGCTCACACATGCCACAATATGCAGTTAACCTGGGTGTCTATGAATGTGAGAGTAAATTACATAGAATGAAAACTACTGGTCTTGAAAGGAGCAGCTACCCTGTTGTTTGCTTAAATCTGAGAACATTAGGCTGTGTGGGATAAAGCTGCTCACAGAAAACAAATGCCACACCACCTTCCTTCTGTGACTTACATGTGAGCTCTAACAAAGTTGAGCTAACTGAAGTAGAAAGAAGAATGGTTGGTGGACACCAGAGCCTGGGGTGATACAACAGGGACTTGAGAAGTCACAAAGCTTACCCAGTCAGAAGAAACAGGCTTTGAGGTCATTTGTTCCTAGGTAACTACAGTCAGCAGTAAGTATATTTTAAAATAACTAGGTAAATTTCAAATATCTCACCATCACAAAATAAAAGGAGGCAAGGCACTGATGTATTAATTAACTAGGCTTAATTATTTCACTATATATGTGTGTATTAAATCATATTGTACTCTATGCATTTAATTATGATTTGATAATAAAATATTAGTATTTTAAAAATGGTTTTTCTCTTTTCCCTTCAGGTTTACTGCAGTGATCTTTTTGCATTTGGAAGCTGATTACTGATGAACTTTCCTGCACTGAATATGCTCAGTTGAATAGCTGACTGCTCTCCAGTGTCCTTTGTATCTCTCATTCGTTTATTACAGACCTTACAACTTTCTGAGATTGGAATTTTGTGGATAATATCTAAGGAAAATTACCACCATGGTCAGGCGTGGTGCTCTGTAAGGCAAGTGACTTCCTAGAAATGAGGAGACAAAGCTGGATGTGTTTGCCAGGGGACGTGTGTATATGGCTGTGTTAAGAAGGGAGTGTGTCAGCTGGACAGTGGTGGTGCACGCCTTTAATCCCAGCACTCGGGAGGCAGGGGCAGGCGGATCTCTGTGAGTTCGAGGCCAGCCTGGTCTACAGAATGAGTTTGAGGACAGCCATAGCTATACAGAGAAACCCTGTATCAAAAACAAAACAAACAAAAAAGAAGAAGGGAGTGTGGGAGCTCATCTCCCAAAGCTACAAAGAGGAAGAGCTCAGAGTCTAATCCTAAAGGGAAACCAGCAAACAGACCTTTAGAATCTAGACACACGGCAGTTATGGCAAAGCAAGCTTTATTTAATGGGTAACAGGAGAGTCACAACTCAAACTCAGCAAAAGATGACATGAACTCACAGAGGCTTCACATCCAGTGATGTCATACACCAAGGTTCTTCCCACTCAAAGCTGGGAATCAGTTGCCAAGGTGACAGGAAGAAAATGGCGCTTACCCCAAAGATTCTTCGTCCATGAGGCATACACTTCTGTCTATTAAGAATAAAACCCTGATCTGAAGGTTTGCTAACTTACAATTACACCGAGTATTTCCTATGCCAAGTACCAAGACAAGCGCTGTGATGTGTGGGGGTGAAAGTCTACTCCTGGGTGGGACTGACCTTCTCAAGGTAGAGTCCTATCATCTTCTCAGGGTGAGGCTACGGGAAAGGAGGCTGGGGAGGAAGTGACTTTACAAACCAGTTTGCCTGCAAGACTTGCAGCACCAGGATAGTTAGAGCATGGCGATCAGGATCTGATGGCCATGGTATCTGTGTCTTCTGTTTATTTAATCTGAAGTTATTCCTGCCCCACAGCTGTTACAGCCACTGTGTCCAACCAATATCCCAATCTGTTTAGAGTAGATTTCTGTTCATCCTGCAAATTCTCTCACCCAAGATCCTTGATGAAATCAGGGAGGCAGGGGCAGAGACATCTGTGTATCGAAGCAGTGGTATATCTAATTAAAACTGTAGTCTGTTAGTCCATGAGGAGGGCTCAGAAGAAGCAAATAGAGAAGTACAGCTAACCTCAAGGGAAAGTGGAGGGTAGTCATGGCTATAACAACAAAAAGGAGGTCCTGACAGAGAGTCTGGTGATGTCTGGTGTCCCAGACAAACTCAGGTCCTCAAGAGCCCAAAATGATGCTAAATCCTACTCGGTTTGGGCTCTGTTCACTTGGCCTCTTCTTATCAATTCAATGGCTGTCTCCTCTTTCTCTTATGCAGGAAATGTACAGGCAGATCCAGGAAGCCCCATTTTCCCTACAGGTGTTCCTGGTAGCCCCAGGAAGACATCACTAAAAAGCCCAGCTTCTTTCTTTCTTTTTTTTTTTTTTTTTTTTTTTTGGTTTTTCGAGACAGGGTTTCCCTGTGGCTTTGGAGGCTGTCCTGGAACTCGCTTGGTAGACCAGGCTGGTCTCGAACTCACAGTGATCCGCCTGCCTCTGCCTCCCGAGTGCTGGGATTAAAGGCGTGCGCCACCAACGCCCGGCTGCCCAGCTTCTTTCTAGCAATGATCCACATTTCCTACAACAACTTAAGAGCCACTGGCCTTTAACGTGACTGCTGAATGGGGCAAGGTGGAGCCACTCAGTTCCAATGAGTGCTAAGAACACTAAGGGTGACTTAACCTCTGAGGTCCAGGACATTTACTCTTAGGCTTGAGACATTACTCTTCTCTGATGGTGGGTCAGTGACAAATTCTGAGACTTGGCAGGACTGGCTATTGGGTAGCCTGTCAGAAGACAGAACAAAGCTTCTCTTCTATTTCATCGAGAGAGATCCCTGATTTGGAGACATTCCAATCCCCTGGGAGTTTCTCAGACAAGTACTCTTGTCAAGCAGGCCCTAGGCCTTGCTATCCCCCCAGGCAGCCCTTCCATGTCTCTCTGTCTTCTGTTTTGTGTTTCAGTCATAAAGGCCAAAGAGAGGAAGCATCCATAGTCTTGTAAGTAATGATTCTTCTGAAGCTAAAGCTACAGACAGGAAATAGTGACCAAGGTGGGTACGAAGGGATAGGAAGCAGAAATAAGAAGTAGAAGTAGTAAAAACAAACGAACAGAAAAAAGATCAAGGAAAAACAGGGAGCAGGCCAGGGGGTGGGTGACATAAAAGGTGTCTTCTCCCTCCCAGCGCACGGTGACTGAAGGCGAGGGTCAGAGCTGCGAAAGCCTCACACCTGACACTGACTTACTGGCTGGTGGCTGTTGTGGGCAGCCTCCTCCTCGATGCTGTCTGTGAACTCTGTGCTTGTATCTTCAGGGTCACCGCCTGCAGCAGCACCTGGAAGAAAGTCCAGAAGAGAAAGGTGACTCCTTCACAGACGGCTTCCAGACGGCAGGCACGATCACACGCTTGCCATCTACCTCTGGTTTTTTTCTGTTCTTCATACTCTTGGCCAGCGGCAGGGAAAACAGAACCAAGCCTTCTCCTGTGCAAATGGTACTTTCTTCCAAATAGTTCAGCCTAAGCCTTAAGGCAAGCTCACTTTGACTATCCTGCTACACTTTAGATGCCTTTAGAGTGTCTGTTCTTCTCCCCCATCTCAATGAATTCTCCATTCTGTTCAAACACTAACGTTCTCTTACCACAGCTAGACATCACTAACCTTTCTGCCAACACTGACTGCTGAGCAGGCCCATTATTTCCTGCTATGGGGCAGCTCCTCTCACCCTCTTCCATGGTTGGGTAGGGTTGTCCACAGGATGACAGTATCTCTGAGGAACTCATCTCTGGGATCTATGTCTCACAGAGGTCAGGATGTGAGGTACAGAATGACCCAGGGGCTTTCTGACTCCTCCATCTCACCAGCCCTCCTCTACAACTCTCTCTCTTTTAGTGCCAGCATTCGTTGCCTGGAAGACTCTGTATTGCTCTGCTCGAATGACACGTAGTCTCATCCTTCATCTTTTAGAGATGTACCTGTCACCTGCATAAGCATCTATATCCTGCTGCAAAGGACAAGTGGCTGCAGTTAGTGGTCTGGGCAAAGGTCCAGGGTGGCACTGGGCAAGAGAACCTTCACTGAGGATGGCCTTGCTCTGTGCCCCCACTGCTCAAGAGAGAAGACTCTGGTCATTAGTTTATACTTAAGTGGCCTTATGTGGTTAGTGACTACTATACAGGATAGCACAAACGTGCAGCATTTATTCCTTTTAAAACTGATTATAATAAAAGATCGTCCATGCAATTCTACATTAAGAACTGTGACCCACATTACTGATTTTCCCCCCTCAGCACATCAAAGAGTATCTATTGTGACACCTTTATATTTCACAGAATTTGCCAAGTTAGGGAGCCTAGTAACATCAAGTTGTGATCCCACCTCAGCAACATGTTAAAATCTTTTATCTACCAAGTAACCTGGGGCTTAAAGAGATTCTATGGTTTGTCTAAGGATACATAATCTAGTTCTGACAAGATTGGAGCCAGTAAATCAAGTGTCTGAACTCAGGAACCATTGTTTCTTATGGTGGAAAACCTGATTACTTCTTCCAAGACCAAAGAATTTCTCCCTGAACTCGGACACTTATAAATGAAGTCTCAACATTTAGAATGAACATTCACAGCTATAGTGATCATACTTCTTGGCTATGTCAAGAAAGCCTGAATCAGTTTTCTTCTGTACACCAAGCAGAAAATGGGCAGTTCACATCTACCTGCAAGTCCATGTCAAGGCATTTGCAATGGCTTGCTCGTCTCAGCAAAGAACTAAGAGGTAGGTGATAAGTGTATTGTCCTAACAGCTTAACAGCTTAAGGCCCCAGTCTTCACGGTGGATGCTGCTATACCAGAGGAGAGCAGGATTCTATTCAGTAAAACCATGAACCAGGAGGCAGCTGGACCACTCAGCATCTTTAGACACCTCCTGCAGCCAGAGCACAGTAAGACTTTCCAACTAGTCCCTGGAATGGCAGAACCATCTTCCTCAGGGGCCTGGAAAGTAGAGGTCAATGAACATAATCCCTAAGTGCTGAGCTGCTTTGGAAACCCACTAGAAGCAGGATGCCAAGTCACTGATGACATCTATATCATATGATACTTATTTTTGGAAAATTTGTTCCTGTCCAACAGTAGAGATGGCCTTTCTCCCCCTGTAAAGAAAATGAATTTTCTCACTGAGTGACAGATCATGAAAGCAACCTTTCTCACTGTTTCCCTTTGGAGCTAGAAAATGACTCAGAGGGTCAAGGAAGCTCTATGGTCAGCATTCCCATATCATTCTCGCTGGGCTGTAGAGTCTGCTCCATGCTGAGTCTGCATCCCTAAGTCCCTGCACTGGGATTCAGGAGTAAGTTGGGGGCCTTTCTGCTGCTAGAACCACATTTCTTCTACTCCCTCTGTAAACCACTGTGAAGACAGGACGCCTTGTTTCTGGTTTTGTCAGAAATTCCAGACAAAAGCATATTCCCACTTATCCCAACTCTCTATTACATGGAGCTTTTGTTTCTCTCTTCCTTAATGGAGGTTGATCGTCACTCTGCTTTTTGCTGAAACTCAAAGGGCTGAAAATGTGTGTTTGAGAATAAAGCAAAAAACCAAAAGGAAATACAAGAATGAAATGAGTATGTTGTTCCACACAAGGTCCTATTTGGAAGCAACCATTAGAAATCCCTTTTTCTGTTACAATTTCCACTTTTTTTAATGAATGAGAAGAATTTTTTTAGGGCTGCATGTGGTTCAGCATTAAGAGTGCTTGCCTATTGAAGGAAGGCCTGAGTTTGATCCCTAGCAACACACAAAACCAGGCCTTGGTGTCACACATCTGTAACCCCAGTACTTGAAAGGTGCGAGCAGGAACATCAGGAGTTGAAGGTCTTCCTCAGATACACAGTGAGTTGGAGGCCAGTGGGACCCTGCCCCTCTTCTGAGAAAAGCAAAAGAATTCTGTTTTGTAAAGGATTCCTTTTTCTAAGCCTTTTTACAAGGCAACAGAAGACTACTTTCTTAACTATCTTGGGACAGTTTAACCTTTTAAGTGAAAGAGACCCAACACTTTTTAAACTGATCATCTTTTCACTTTTGATAACCTATGACATTCTCTGGAAGGTAATGATCTGCCCATTTCCAATAACTTCACATTTCGGAGATGGAGTTTTACAAGTCAACATCAGACATGACTGAAATATCACACACTAAGTCCTCGATGGATATTTTCAACATGGCTCTTGGGAGTTCCTAGGCTTCAAAGCACACAAAATGGAGATGATGCCACCTATCCCATTTGTACTTTGTTCTCTACCAGCTACATGATTTTACAAAGTACATGGAACTCAAACAAGTCTCTAGAAGGTAGCAGAACCCTCGAGTTAGTAGTTTAAACACTGCGCAAATACAAGGTATCCTTATCAGTGAGGCCGATACTCACACTTGTATGCTTAAATTGAAGATGGCATGGTGACTAGGAATGTGGACTCTGGTGCCAGATCATCTGTTTGAATCTGCTTTTGCCACTAGTTATGTGACTTTAATTACGGTTCGTAATGCTCTCTGTTCCAGGCAGCTGTTGTGAACTTCAAACAACTTCAGACTTCAAAGGATTTGCTGACACTGTTTGCTCAGAGCAGTGCTTGGCACGCTCTAAGGTCTTGTCCTACTGACTACATTTTGCTATTGCTGGTGAACTGAAGTGGTCCTTGTGCTGGGAGGCTGAGGGCTGGCAAGGCTGAAGGCCACAGAACCGACATAAATGCAGGCAGCAGAGTGGTGTGTTAATCCTGAGGATAGCTTTCACCTGCAAGTCTTTCCTTCTGAATTGCTGCTTTCCCTTTGGAAAGCTGCCATTGCCACCATCAGATTAGAACTGCCTTGAAATGGCACTATGCATGAATCACTTTTAAAGAAACTTCATGCACTTTCCTTTTAATTCTCAGTCATGGGAAAACTGTGTCTTGTCAAGGCATTTTCCCCAGGTTCCACTCTATGGCCACTATTGCCATTATTTCCATGGCAACAGCAAGGAGCACATGCAACTTCAAACATGGCAGGGGCCATGTGTAACCTATTTTGAAAATGGATTGAAGGGTTGAAGCTCACAGTCTGAGTAAGTTTGCAGGCCAACTGTGCTTTCCCTGAGGATCTCATGCTGGCCTTCTCTGGCCCATCTTACTTTATCCCCATGCACTCTGCCATGTATGTGTTCACTACTGGAACACTCACACTTTCATGTCATGAACCCAGTCTTTCTGGCTCAGTATTACAATGCTGTATCAGAATGGAAGACAAAAGTTCTCTATGAAGTTTCAGTTCCCCTACATCCAATCCCCTCAGGACTGCGTTAATGTCAAGGTTCATTGCAGCTCTCCTTAGCTTCTGCTGAGATTCTTTTACACAGATGCTCATCTTGGAAAATAAGTAGTGCGGTTCTGTCACCAGCAGCCACGCCTCTTGATGGAGCACTTCTGCTTTTCAAATACAATGTTTCCTAAGAGGACTGTCCAGTGTGAATACTACTAAGAAAGAAGCTCTGTTAAGTGATTGTAAAGCAAGTTAGACTCCAAAAGACTTTTCAGGGTACACAATCTCAATAGGAATTCAACGTTTCATCTATCTTTAATTGCCCAGGACACATATAAATTAGGCCATCCTGGACAGATCAGAAGATATGCCCACAATCTCTGTTCTAAAAGTGATTCTATCATGTCAAGGAATTCTCCATTTGTGGTGCTCTTCAAGAAACAAAAGAAGCATGCTCTTATAGGGACATTAAGAGATGGAACCACCCTCAAATTGGCCTTCATTTCCTACCCCTCTTCAGTATGGAGAGCAAGAATAGATTTTTAAGGCTTAACAAATCCATTTCACTGCTATGGGGAAGTGCAACACTGTGTCTTTGGGCTCACTTCCTTGAGAAGAGGGTTTCCCCTTCTTTAGTTAAACAAACATGCATGCATGGGGACTGGCTTTGACTTGGAATTTTAATGTAATGATCAATTGACTGACTCCTAGAAAGAAAAAGAAAAAAGAAGATGAGCTTTCTCGGTCTTTTCTCATGAATCTTTAAGAATGAAACCGAATAGCTTCTGTTGGCCTTTGATACTTTTATTAGATCAATAACAAGTTTTGGTGTGTCTCAACTAGATTAGCTGATAAACTAACACACATATAAAGAGCACAGGCTCCACAGCACAGATATTTACAGTTTCACGGCACAGTCCCATGAAGAATGAACTTTGAGAAAATAAGCAGCTTAATTTGGTGAGGACAGTCCTGGAAGTCAATGAGTGCCAAGTTTCTGATCGTGTAATGTGTCACTTCTTTCTTCATCTGAAGTTGCTGTGAATCACCATTTCTCAATAGCCCACAAAATTTCACATGATAAAAGCAAGTGACATTGCTTGAACACAGAAATGTACAGCCTACAGGACACACTTGTCTATGTACATGCTTCTAAAGTGTGTAGGTTGAACAACCAGTCTCTAGAGAAATGACAGACAGCTGTACAAAGGGGCCCATGAACTCTTCTTAGCCACTAACAGCAAATCCACTGGCCTCTATTAGAGACAAGAGAACAGAGCTCATGTGTCCAACAGTCCTACTCCTCAGGTCTCTTTGAACCAAACATTCTGCAATACTCCTGAACATTCTATTTTATTCTTCCAGTCTTTGCATGAGGAAGGCAGTATAATAAAGACTCTAAGTTCTGGGATTTGATTTTAAATAATGAAAAAGGAAAATAACATAAAATGAGTGTATTGCTTTGTAGGTTTTACCTGACAATTGGTTAAAAACTTGTTGGCTATACAGTTTTTGATTTCCTTTCCATTTCTCATTCTCTGTTGCTGATAAATTCTAATGCTGATTTTTATTTGGGAAACTCATCCTGGCTGGTGTGATTATACAGGAAAAAATGAGGACTTACCTTCTGTCAGTACTCAAGAGTACATAAAGGTAATATGTTTATTTTCTAATTATAATAAGATGCTTTAATAAAGTCAGTGTTACAAATAGCAAGGGAGCAACTTCAATTCATTATCCAAAATGTAGTGAGATTTGAAACTTTTACCCTAGAGAAGTCATTGCCATGTTCAACCTACACAAGCATCCTTGGCATTTATTACTGGAGTGCTTAGATGGACTTTACCTTAAACTTCCAGATGCCTTTCTCTAGACTATAAATGGGTCTACACTACCAAAAGGAGGAGAAAGGTTTGCTGAGCTTCTGTCTAAGAGAAATGAGAAAATATGTGCTTGCATCTCATAATATGCTAGCCTCTAAGCAAGTTCTGCTAGGCAGTTTTTAAGCATATGACTTACAACATGGCTTTCCTAACATCATAGGAAGACTGTCCCCTTCTCATGAGGTCACTGCTGGTGACTAAGACCCTTGTTGAAGAGACAGCTGAGGGTTTTCAGGAGTTCCAAATGTGACGAATTTGTGACTCTCTCCTACAGAAAGATCATGAAAGGAGAAAATTCTTGCAGGAATTTTCTGAATAGTGAGCCTAGTTTTTAGAACTGCAGCATGTGGAGGAATGTCTAACCATGGTTTCAGATCTCGACAATGACAGCTCGAGGAAAACCAATCTAGGAAAACCAAGCTAGGAAAGCGATTATGGCTTGGCTTAGCACTCAAGAGCTTCAGGCAGCCAATTAAAGTTTACTTCCGAGAAAGGGGCAGGCAGCACCACAGTGTCACCTGCCACTTCTCTCCCTCATCATGAGATTCCAGTGTGAGTTCAGAGGCAGGAAAGCTGAGTCAACTCTCTTGAACTATTTTGGAGTTGTAAGGCCAGGTCTCACAATAGATGCTGAGCTAGGAGCACAAAAAGCCCAGATCCTACAAAAGACGATAAGCTAGGAGCACAAATAAGCATGTGTGGTAGGACTTCATGCGTCTCTTGCACAGATGTTACCATCCACGTCCTATCCACCACCCTTCTAAGGAGACTCTAAGTGCTGGTGGAAATCCTCCATGGATTTTGATTTTCTTTGGTCCTCGATAGCTCTCTTTCTCTATATAATATAGCTGCAACTAGTTTAAAATATAAACAAGGACAATGTGATTTCCCTACAAGCAACAGCACTGAAGATATTGCTGCTGTCTATATGTGAATGAAGAGACGTGGGTGTGGAGGAGGATGAGGTGGAAACGGAAGAGATGGAAAATAAGTATACATCATGCCAAAGTAGAAGGATGGCAAATTAAATCATTTCTCCCCAGAAATTATAACTTGGCTAAACTGCTAAATATAGAACATCAGAAAGATGTTGAACAATAGAAGCCTACCAATGCTCAGATTTCAACAATAGAATTTAACCCTGTGGTAGAAGGTTTAAGCTCAGTGGTACATCACTTGAATAGCATGCACAAAGCTTTGGGTTCAAGCCCCCCAAATCAAATACACAGCAACCAAAAAATAGGTTCTAAATTAGGGAGACTTTGGAGAAAGCACGTCAGAAGGACTTGCATTTTAGTCCTTAACTGAATCTTCTTAGAAGCCCTTTTCAATTCAATAGTTCCAAAAACTTGACTTATCTACTCAGCCTCTTACAACCATTACTCTGCAGATCTTTCCCACCGTGCAAAAGGAAATGTGAGACAAATGAAATCTATCATTAATCATATTTTTTCTAAATTAAAGTTCAGTGCTTTGAATTAAACAAAGCCTAAGGGAAAAATCTACTCCATTATTTTTCTTTCAAGAAATTTTTATTGAAGCACAAGCTTCTATAAGTACATGGTACTTTAAATCTAAGTTTATTGAAACATTTAAAAAACTCCCAACCAAGGCAGACAAATCCAGTTAACAGTTTGTGCTCCTACAGAGGAATGAAGATCAGAGCACGCTAAATCCAAGTATATGAATGATGTATAGAATCACAGTACCATCCACCTGTGGCTTACACACTACAATTCATCAGAATTGCGTTCTGTAACCAGATGTCAAATTATTGCACAAGTGTGTGGGCCCAGTACATTCTCTCCAGGCAGCTCAGTCTCCAGCCTCAGTCTAGCATCAAGGCCAGAAAGTCAGTACCAGATTTTAGTCACATTTATGGAATCAGTAACACTTAATTTACCTATCAACCTACTCTTGCTAGAGGTTGGCAGGTGGACTAATTATTAAGACATTCTATAATCACTGTGAACTCTTAGAATCTGAGTCACCTACAGTTGCAACTTAATAGCAGCTTTGCAAAACTTTGTTGGTCTATTAGTAAAGTAAACAAGTTTCCTAATTGCCTTATAATGACCTGACAGACTAGTCTTTAATTGATTGACATGCCTATAGCTCAACTCTATTATCTTCTTCCCTACTTGCTAGTTACATAAAATTTTGTGCAGGCAGGCCTTAAAGTCTCTTAAAATAGGGACACTAAGAAAATTGGGTGGTTCTGATTATATATGCATCCTCTATCTTTCCTATTAAATGATTCCTTTCCCCCTAATGGCTGTTAAAATTGAAATAGCACATCCATTATAAGGAAGGCCATGGCTGCCAATCTTTGTGAGCTACTTCATCAGATGATTGTGGGGGCTTCTCTGGAAGAGTCCTTCTCCTGTCCACTTCAGGTTGACTGCTGCTCATCTGTTACAGACACAGCTAAGGTTACAAAACCCTGGATAGAATTTAGAATGCAACACATGGATGTAAAGAGCTTTGTCAAAAAGGAAGGAAAAGGAAAAATCATGTGCTCAGTCTAGCTCTGGAAAGGGACTCAGTCTTTCTTAGGGTGCTGGGAAGCCTGAATTATGTTCCCTCAACACCACTACCTTTCAGCAGTAGGGAGCCTTATGGTGCAGAATCCACAGTCCCTGAAATAACCCATTCCTTTTCATATTCTTGGCATTTAAGATGCTAAAGATGATATCTTTAGTTCCCTTTCTCTACCTGCCACATTGTTCCAAGAAAGTAGAGATGGTGAATAAAACCTATGCACAGCTCTGATACTTCCTTCTGAGTGACTTGGGCATAAAAGCACCCACACCAACTTCTTCCCCTAACATGAGGTAATATATGCACCAAAGCAGCGCAAATAAAGGACACTACCCATGACACCCCAATGAGAATGCAGAAACACTCCCTTTCTCTGATTCTGGGACACAGGAAAACACTGCTCTTAAAGGGGATGCTGACAGGTGGGTGTGGCAGTCATCCCTCTAATCCCAGCACCCAGAAGGCAGAAGCAGGTGCACCTCTGTGAATTCAAAGCCAGTCTGTTCTACCCAGCACATTCCAGGCTGGCCATAGTCAGACCCTGTCTCAAAAATCAAACAAACCAAATACCAAAAACCCCAAACAAAACAAAAATGGGGGATGGGCGGGAAATATCACAAAGACAATTATCTTTTTATCTAGAGAATTCTGACTCGGGAAACCTTTCTTTAATGAAAGGCCATGCCTGTGGCTTGAAGAAGCTCTAGACCAGTGAGGAACAAGAATTTTATAGACTAGAACTAAATGTCTACTCATCTGATCTTGCCTGTGACACTCAACAGTCAAGTCTGAAGCAGTCTTAGAGGGCATAATTTACCATGAACACGTTTATGGTCCCTGTTCCTTAACTTAGCCTGAATCCACTCTTCCGGTTATCCTTAGTGGGGCTCCACCACTCCCCAAAGTCATTCTGTGGACTCTCAATCTCTAAACCTGAAACTCATTCTATTCCTTTATTTGATTAAAAATTGCTTTCGAAGAGCAAGATTTGACTGGATGGCAAAAATAATACACACACATGCATTTTATGACATGATACGGACCGTGTGAAATGGGTGGTGAGACGAGGGGAAGAAACTTTATTGGCCCATGGGAGGGGTAAAGGAATGGGGGAAGGCTAGGAAGAAGAGCGAGTGCGTATGGAAAACTAAAATGGAATGATCTGAGGTGTGCATCTACTTCATGGCCTCCCATTTAATGGAGAGACGGTATGCGAGTGAAGCACAGGCGACTACAGTGACTTCAGACATCAGTCCTATCGTTAGTAAGTCACCGCTTAGTCTGCCGAGTTAGACACCACATCCCTGGTTAGTGTGAACAGTTTCCATCCTGGGTTGCATTGTGACCCGCCAGTGCTCAGAGGGCATGCTTGTGACGACCTTGCACACTTTCCAGTTCCCCACCTCCAATGGCGGCCATGGTCTCCAGCCTGCTTAAGCGCTCCAGGCTTCTTCCAAGAACTTCTTCTAGGCGACCACGTAATGCCTGGGCCCCTTCCAGTTCCACCTGCAGAGTTCGGTCTCTCTCAGAGCTGATTAAACAGGCCACATGGAAGGAAAATGGGTTAGCCGTCAACTATAATGAGTCCTCATGTTTCTAAAGAACCATCTATGACACTTAGCCTTCCTAAGGTAACTGGCCTCCAAGGCAAGGGCTAAGTGAATGAACGCAGTCCGTGTGTGGCACCTGTGTCCATTGCCAGAGGAGAAGCAAGGCCAGCACCTTTCTGTAAAGCCTGTCCCTTTAGCTACATTCTGGGACACTCCAACACAAAAATACAGCACATTCCTACAGCGACAGAAGAGAAATGTTGTCATGTAAAGTGAATCAAGGCTGAGCCGAGGGCTGGAGAGAGCTGTTTTCTCATCTGCACAGAGCTGACAGTGCTCTGAGAGAAAGCAGTTCAAAGGAGCAACATTCCAGATGTTCTTTTCACAGGCAACACGAGTAAGTGGCCCTACCACACCTTCCCCTGCTTCCATCTTCCTGAGGTGGAAATAAAACATTTCTAAAGCCCAATGAGAAGCCAGGGCAAATTGAGTAATAATAATGAAAAAAATGTAGAAAGAAAAGAGGCCAGGAAGGAAGACAAGAAAAACATGAAGGTACTCTGAAATGAGTCATAAACATATACCACCAAAAGACACAGTACCATGAAGATAGAGTAAACCAAAATTGAGAACTATAGAAACAGATCCACCTGGATGCTTTAGCTGTGATTCTGGGTGGAAATTTGCCACCATAACAAGTGCATGTTCTTCCTTGTCATTAACCTAGTGTTGATGCACCGAGAGCCTTGGCGTTCATGGTAAATCAGGCTGTGGCAGGCCAGAGTGCAGACAGGAGCGGAGCTCACGGAGACTGCTCACTGCATACCGGACACTCTTCCAAGTCCCTGACCTGTCTTCTTGGGTCATCTTTACAGTAACAAAGGGAAGTTCTACTTCTAATTTCAGATTTAGACACCGGTGCTCAGGCCAACCAAACAACAAATCACAAGGTGGACAGCTTCCTTTTTTCTCCTCTTTGGTATTATAAACACCTGTTTGTTATTATAACGTGATAAAAAATAAAAGAAGGAAAAAGAATGGAAGCTGAAAGTAAGCGAGCCTAGCAGCCCCTCTCTTACTTCTCTGGATGGGCGTGGAACTTGACCAGACTGCTGTACAGCTGCCTCTCAGCTTGCAGGGCCTCGTTGAGCCGACTCCGTTCATCTACCAGTCCCTCTAGCATCAGCAGCAACTAGAGAAGGAAGAAAGGCAATGATGTAGACATAGCAAAGTGAGACATGAAGTCACAGTAAATGCTGCGAGACAAAACACAGCATTAGCATACACTGTGGCCAACTGAAGCTTTCTGCAGAATCTTCCAGTTTTCATATCAACATTAAACTCGTTATCACTTCACATCTTAATGATTAGTCAGATTCAAACATGGGAGTGAGAACTGGGAGAGAGGGAATCCAGAAACACAGGGAGGGGTCTAGATGGAGGGATGAAGGAAGGCAGGGATGAGCAGGAGGGGAGCGGTGACAACGCTTTCTAAAGTGCCTGCACTCGGTACTTACTGAACATCTCCACGCCGTCACATACACTGTTCTAGTTCTAGGAAAGGCTTGGCTATAGAGATGGACTGTAAGAAGGTATAGCTAGCAGAAAGCTGTTGGAGTGAGGTGAGGAGTGAGAGGACAGAGGAGACAGGCGCACAGGTGAGGCAGACTTTCCGCACTCTGGCTCTGAGGAGATTAGACATGGGGTAGAAGCTACACAGGAACCTGTGTCCCGAGAACTCACCTGTTGTCTCCGGTTTCCTGAAACTTCCTGACCCTGGGATTCTAATGAAGCAACTTTTTCCCGAAGAAGTAAGACCTCTTGGGTCAGGCGTTCCATGGCTGGTATGTCTTCAGGGTCGACCAGTTGCATTTGCAGGTCCTAGAAAAAAACAAGCAAACATAAAAACTGTAATGACATTACTCAGCAGAGAAGCAGGGACAGACCTTTCTGCTCTACTTCAAGCCGGAAGAATCCAATGTTTTCGCATCTTGTGTGAAGATGCCCTATGGTAGCTGAGATAGAGACTATTCCAGTGGCGTTCAAACAGTTTTAAAGACCTTTATGAGATCTTCTTTTATCTGTATGTTCCTGGTCAGCGACTCCAAGTCAGCGGCCTGCACCTGAAGCTCATCCTCTTGTACAGCCATCATGGACTGCAGAGCAGACAGCTCTATCTGTGGAGAGAAGAAAAAGCAACATCAGAGGCCAAAGCTTTTCACGTCATCACAATCAGCTAGTAATACAAGAGGAAACTGAAAAAACCAGTGCTGTGGGTCAAACCAATGAAGCATGAGAGTGGGCTCAAAGGATGCTCTAAAAGAAACTGTAAGAAGGTTTTCAACAATGTCTTCTATTACTATAAATAACAGATTTATTAATGGGGTCACTGGGATATTTCAAAGCTGGTTACAACTAGCAGGAGCAAGAAGAAATGGTGTTTATTCTATGTAAATACTTCAGCTAATACATGAAAACAGCAGATTTAGAACACCCGCATTTTGTACTCCTTAATGAATTACTAAGGCATTAAGCAGCTAGAGTTGCTGATACCAGGGATCACTACATGCCTCCTGGGGAAGAGCATGCTGCCACTACAAAGGAGCCTCGCCGCCAGTTATCACCAAGCTTTCAGTGGTGTATCTTCTTTTCCCCAGATGATAAACTGGATGATATCAAAGCGCGTTAGACACCATGGTAACAACCATTCCTGCTAACATTCACTGTGTGCCTACTACATCCCAGGCATACAATGCATTGCTTGTATTTAGTTCTCCCGGCACAGCTATTGATATGGACCCCTCTAGTCCATTCCTATTTCAATCCCTGCGTCTTGGCTGCAGCACACCCGGCTTTGTGTTGACTGGGAGCCTTCACTCCTACTGCCCCATCACCCCATCACCCTGCAGTAACTTTCCCAGGGCTGTTGTCTTCTCCCAGGTACGAGTCTATTCAAGAAAGCCTTTGGCCACTTCACTAGGTGATCGCCATCTGTGTTACTTTTCTCTTGACACTACAGCATACTGCTTTATAATGTATAATTACAACATTAAGCTACTCATTTGTATAATGAGGAATGAATGAAACAGATCACAGGAAGGACCTTGTTGATTCTGCACCCCCTCTCATCCCTAGTTCTAGCTCTGGCTTAGAGAATGTGTCTCATGAATGAACTGGCACGTAATTCCTCCCAACGATCCCAGGATGTAAGCTCTCTTCAATTACAGACACGATGATTTCTACACTTCAGTGTATAGACAAGGCAAGCGAGGCAAGGGGAAATTAAGGAACTAACTTAAAATCACAGAGTTAATAAGTGGTTAATCTGTAGTGCAGAAGTCAGGGAAGACAAACCAGGCTGTCTTTCTGACTGGTACTGTACATCTACATAGTCTTTATGACAATGGCGAGTTATTTTAAGTCAGTGTGTGGTGGCAGAACAAACCAGGCATGCTTGGCTTTCCCATCCCAGTCCTCTCCATAGGCAGCTCCTGTGGAAGGCTTGATTCTACCTCTGCTTCCCTCAGGCCAAGCCTAATAATTTAGGGCCTACTTGGTGCTGGCAGCAAGTTCTGTACCTAAGACATTATCGATAATACAGTTGATGGTGTCTGGTGCTGATTTTATTTTTTAGGTTGTTCAGAGCTAAGGAATGGAAAATTTTATGACCACTATTGGGACCCCTTCAGAGATTCCTATAATTACATATCTCAGGATTTGCAGCATTAACGAAAACAATAGGGCTGGAGAGATGACTCAGTGGTTAATAGCCCTGGCTGCTCTTCCAGAGAACCTGAGTTCATTTCTCAGCAACCACATGATGGCTCACAACCATCTGTACTTCCAGTCCCAGTGGAACTAATGCCCTCTTGTGGTCTCTGCTGGCTCTAGGCACACACAGGGTGCATAGACATACATGTAGAAAAAAATACCCATACATATAAAATAAATTTTTAAAAAGAAAATGGTAAGCTTAAGGAAGAAAATATTCTTGCAGCGTGATTAAGGTCTGCAGACGGATTGACACGGGTTTTTAAATCCTGCCACCAGCTGCTGGCAAAGCTTTGACACTGAGGTTTAGTTTCCTCATCCATAAAAGAGAGTGTGTATTTCCAGGGCTACAAAGGACTAGAGAAAACATTTTTAAAATGTTTAACATGTGGCAGAAAACCAGTGAACAATAGCTCCACCACTTCCACTATCACCAGACAATAAGGGAATGTATCAGATATGGAAGAGCCTGTATGGCTGTTGTAAGTGCCCAGTATTAGAGGGGCTATATGACGGTGTTGAGATGAGAAGTAAGTGGTTGATTGAGGATATATAAAGTTGAACAACAGAAAGTATCCTTTATTCAAAACACATATTCATAGCCCCTGCAATTTTATGATTCTCAAAATAGGACAGAAGCAAAAGGTCATGGAATACATGAGAAAAGAGGAAAAGTGTGTGGGAAGCATGATACCAGACACATATAGTCATATACCAGCTAGGGCGGAACCAGAGCGAGGGAGGGCAACTACGCCACTCTTCAACTAATGATTCTAATATACTACATACTCGTGTCTTCAAAACTGAGTTCTATAATACATCTCTGTAAGAAAAAAATGTGGTCATGAAATGAAGAGGTACAATCTGGACACCAGTGTTACATCAGACACCAAGTCATGACAAAGCGTTACCCTAGGAGTCCAGGACACTCACTGACCTGACTGGATACTGCAGTTACATGTAAGTCTGCAGTTCAGTCTGTCCCTCTGTGCTGAGCCCTAAGCTGTCTTCTAATCTACATCCTAGCTGGATATGCAGCTGATTGCAGAGGGAAGATATTCTGTAAAGCTGAGGGATCTTCTAAGGGAATGCATGAAAACTCTATTGAGAGGAAGAGTCAAAATCAGAAGGCAGGGAAAATACCTGCTCTAGCAATGACTTATTAGGAAGCATTTGGGGTGTCAAGACTTGACTTTAAAGCCCAATTTGGGCATTATGATGAGACCCCCCACATCTGTTAGGATGATATTACGTGTTTCATATGTGAGTGTAGATCCCTTGAATAGCACAGAGCATGTGAAGAATGCTCAATACACAGTATTGCTCATGCTCACACCCTTCTTGTTTACTGCTTGCAAATATCCTTGCCTCTGAAGTCATCATATTAAGCAGGAATTACATGACACTGCTGTGTTGCACAAGCACTCTGCAATGATTTCATTTTACTTACCAATAGGAGGAATAAAAACACTTTATGCTTTCATCGCAGTGAGAGCATCTTGTTGAGGTGATGAAGATGTACAACAATTTGTGTTCCTCTCCCAAAAGCAGAAAGGCTTAGCTTGCATTTGGAGTCAGATATTATACACGGAGAATTGGAATATTTAAAATACAAACCAGTTTGGAAGAAACAACAGGAATTCGTGGACTGGTCTTGACTAGCAAACTTACCTGGCTTTCTCTTTCTTTTTTAGCCATAAGCTCGAGTTCTTCCTTGGCATTACTCAGTTCTTTCTCCAGCCCTGCAACTGTGTCCGAGTCTCCTGAAATGAATGCACAACAATACTTTTAGTCGCTGAGACATGCCATGGCCTCGGCTGCCCTGTTTCTGAGAGGTGTACTCTAAGAACAAAACCCAGCACTTACAAAATGCATGCATTTGCTTTAGTCTGTGGCAATATTTGTAATGGAAACCCCATAATCAACCCAGATGCTAAGAAGAACAGATGATCCCATCACACGTTCATCTAGCAGACTGCACCATACAGCTGAGAAAGAACAAGAATGAAATCGGAGGACTTATCTGGGTTTCAAGGATACTAAATATAAATGCAAAAGAGCACATTTACTAGGGGAAGAAGGATATGACACACCCATCTATATACATATGTAAATCATCCACTTATTATTTAAAAACATATGCAGGAAGGAGGACAACCCAGAAATGAAACTGATTACCCTCAGGGAGTGGGTCGAAATGAGAGAGGAAGAGGGATGTAGTATACCTTTTTATATATTTAATGTTTGAAGTTAACATTTAATTTTTAATATATAAGTTGGTTTGACAATGGGTTAGAGAAAACAACAACAAAAATCCATGTAAGATTTTTGGCAATTTTGGGTAATTTTTCTTGGAAGTGATGCATCTCAGATTTCAGGAGAACCCAAAGTGGTTTTCTGCACTGTCAGAATGTGTCCTGGCCAAATCTACTAGACAGCAATGGAGCAAGGAACAGCAAAGGGAATCTTTACAAAGCAGAACTGGTGCTTACCTACTGTGGACCTGGGCACGCCGGCATCTTCTCTAGCAGTCAGCAAAGTGCTACCGGCTCCAGAGGGCACCTGCACAGAGCTCTGAAAAGCAGAAGGGTTGGTTGTAGAGTTTAGAAAGACACGGGGCCTATGATCACAGTGACAGACTTGGAAGAGTCTCACCTAGTTTGCAGTTAAAACGCCCAAACTGCTGCCTCAAATGTAAAAAGGAAATGCAGTTACCATGAATACCTATGTGGGTCTACAGTTCTTACTTGATCAGTCTTCTCTCCAAGGTGGGGACCAATGGAAGTCCCTTTAGCTTGTTGGTTTAAGAGGAGTGCCCGAGAGTTGATTAGGTCTCTCTCTCCTAAGTACTGCCGCAGGGCGTGTAATTCTGTATTTCTTTCCAGGAAGGCTTGTACCATTTTTTCTGCAGCAGCCTGGTAAGAAAGAATCAAATGAACATTACTAGAAAGATATTGTAGTAAAATAAAGAAAACTTATTTTCAAATTTCTTTAAAGATTTGTTTTTATTTTATGTGCATGAGTGTTTGTCCTGCATGCATGTCCAGGTGCACCATGTGTGCAGTGCCCGCAGAGGCCTCTGAAACCGAAGTAACAGATGGTTGTTAACCACCTGAAGCTTCTGGGAACCAAACCCAGGTCCTCTACAAGAGTGCTCTTAACCACTGAGCCATCTCTCTAGCACCCATTAAGTGCTATTTCTTAAAAACCAACCATTTATTTAAACAAACAAAACCCAAAACCTATGGGACCCTCAGAAATACCTTTCCTGCTCAGCCTTTATAAACAGTGGAGCACAAAGTCTTTCACAGGCAGAATGGGGCACACAGGAAACAGCATGTCTAGACCAGGGAAAACATTCTGAAAACAGTTCTCCAAGGTCTCTACCAGGTTCAGGTGTTAAGGTTTGAGGCAGAACCGACACAATAAACGACTTCCTTCACTCTAGTTCTTGACTACCTTTTACACAAGCATTTGTATGGTTGTGCTCTTTGCCAAACATTGCCTTATCACACTGGCCTCCGTATCTAAAATGTAATCACATGGGCAAAGGGTGTGGACATTCAGTTTTGAGTAAGTACCACTGATGACAGCGGCACAGAGCCTTGGTTAGCAACACTCTGTTGTTACATACAAAACAGAGACTGGTGACTGTGAACTGATCAGAGTAACCATTTGCACTGTGTACACAAATAGCAAAACAATTTGTTACATGCCTTGAGTACACAGTTTTTAATTTCCATACATACACATGGACAAATCTTATTTTAAGTGTATGGGGGGTGAGGACCCTACTTCTACTCTCCAAATCCTTCTGCTATGCTTAATTTTCTCTGATGCACTCCTGTTACCTAATGTATCCCCTTATGTTCTTCCTTGTTTTCTCCTCCTCAACAAGAATGTATACTTCAAGAGCAACTCAGCGCCAAATCCCAAGTAACCCAAACATGACCTGCCAGGAACAGACACTCAGTAAATACTTACTGAATGAATTACACAACAAACATCTTCATCAGACCAAGAGAATCTGAATCTCATGTTGTCAAACTGTGTTCTAAACACTCACATGTATACCTATTGATGAGTGTTGGGCTCAGACTTTACCAGAATCTTCTTACTACAGCAAGTGGTGGTTAATGTAGAAATTCACAACTGGTCAAGGCGCAGGCAGTAAGTGTCTGTGCCATGCTCAGCCACAAATAGGATATCTATCTCTCACCTCCACCCTGCAAGGCTCAGGGACCATCAGGGAAGAGGAAGGGAAAGACAGTAAGAGCCAGAGGTCAGGGAAGACCAGACTGAAACTGTCTTCTGGACATGACAGGAGTACTACTCTCAAGAACCCCCAACAGCTGTGGTTGTCTGTACAAGACCGGCACAACATCAAGCCAGTCAGCATGAATTAAGGAGGGTCTTTTGAGACCCACCCCTTGCTGAGAAGCTATTGACAGTTGATGGCTGCTGGGGGAGGGAGAACCAGCTGTCTTTAAGGGTATGACCTCTGGTAGGTTCACTTCTCTCATGGATGGCCCTATGCCCATAAGCGTCTGGGCATTAGGAGTTAGAATCAGTGGGTTATAAAAAGAAAGGAAAAAGAAAAGAAAGGAAGGAAAAGAAATAAACAGAGTTGGAAGGAGATGTGGTGCATCTGAGAGGAGTTGGGGACAATGAAGGGGGAATATTATAAAAAGAGACTGTACACATGCATTAGGTTCTCAAAAAAGGCTATATTTTAATAACTCTACAAAAAAGTAAGCCAAAGGAAAAAAATAAAGGATGGGCCTGAGTGCCTCCCCTGAGACTTGTTGATAGCTAATGGTTATTGGAGTATGAGGTGCCATTTTTTTGGTGACATAGTCATTGATAAGTTGCCTTTGCTCTAGTAATTAACCTCCAACTCATGGTTAGGCAAGAAACCCCAATTAAACTCACTGTTTACACATGAGAGACTTGAAAATAGAAGGGGGGAAAGGGTCCTAGCGGGAATGAGAAAAGGCAATGGGGGTGAGAATGACTAAAATATATGATATGTGTGAAACTATCAACCAGTAGAAAAAAATTAAATAAACAATACAAGAGGAAGACTGAGAACTTATTTATGATCATTAATGTATAGAAAGTCACTTAATGCTGGCAAGATGGTTCAGCAGGTGAAGGTGCTTCCCATATAAGCCGGGTGCCCTGAATTTGACCCCGGGAACTCACATAAATGTGGCAAGAGAGAACCAATTCCACAAAGCGACTTCCATCATTACCCCACGACACATGGGGCTACACATACTTCAGGTACACCCAGGCACGCATACGATAATGATTGTAAAAGTTCAGGGGGCTGAGATAACGAATCAGAACCATGTTAGCGAAACCAATTGCTTAGATGAAAAGCTAAGCTTCCATCACAATCTCTAAATGACAATTAAAAAAAAACTTGCATTCTCAGTGTGTAAAATCTGGACTCTTTTGTAGTATGGACTACCACTCAAGTCCTGATAACTTAGATAATATTTCAGAATTCCATTCCCCTTTATCTCAATACAATTGGAAGATTAAGAAAACAAATGTTATGGATACATGTATCTTCTAGGCCACCTGGATGCAATGTTCAAACCATTTCATTCTGACTGATGTAGAACTGTAGTTTACAGGCTGGAGGAAAGAAGCTGAGCTAGCTGTAGAGAGAGGAGCCCAGGTCACCAGCTCCAGTCCTATCTGCTGACCACCAGTGTATCACCCGGTCCTGTTGGTTCCGCATTAACGCTTACTTGGCTGGCCTGCTCCCTGGTGCTCATCGACTGAAGCAGCCCCTGGATCTCCATCTCATGCTCCGCAGTTTGTTTATTCAGGTCACTCAGAAGGTCCTGCAGCATCCTCTCCTTCTGCTGCAGGCGCTGGCACAGCTCCTCAGCTACTTCGCTCTGACCAGGTCCCAGTTTGCCGAGTAATGTTGCCCTGAGATCCTAATGAGAAAAGGATGCTGTGAATTTCTGGAGGGCAGGATTTTCTCTACCGCACATTGGAGGGGTTGTAAGCCCCCCACTGTAATTATAAGATTCTGGGGAACACTATAATGTCTTATCACTTGTTTCCCAGACCTAGCACAGGCCCGTGGCTGGGAAGGCTGGACAAACATAGAGTGAACGGATACTAACAATATAGAGAAACACTGAGAATGGCAGCTTTCACGGTGATTGCTGAAGTAAGGAGGTTTCCTTATGCTTGGGCATGTAAGAGTTAATGTAGGGTGGAGCAAAAGGGACACTCGGCTCATTTGCTTCCTTTGCAGCATAACTTTAGAGAGGGAGTACAGAACCACAGGCTAAAGGAATGGAGATCTGGGTGAGGCGGCACATGCCTCCTGTGAGTCCCAAGTAGGAGGATGCAAGCTTGAAGCCAACCTGGATATAAATCAAGAGCCTGTCTGGGGAAACAAAAAAGAGGTCCACGGAAACTGTATTTGTAAGGAGAATAATGCCACTACAGCCCCTAGTCTACACAGAAATACAGCATACGGGGCTGGAAATCGTGGAGCCCCGCTGGCTGGACTGAAACGACTCTGTGGCCCTGCTATGCTGCTTTGACAAGTGACTTGACCTCAAATGTCTAGGTTTTTTTGCTTTGAAAGCAGAGTGTGCCCTCATGAACTGGTGAGGGCTCACTAAGTCCATTTCCATCAAGCTCCTAAAACAGTACCTGGTCCAGCAAGTACCCCGTGACTATTATAACATGGGTTAGTTATAATACAGATGTGTTTTTAGACTTAATTAATTAGTCCTCATACAGCTTCTCTGAGAATAAGTGACGTGCTAAGTTTATAGTTGTAAAGAGAATTCCCTGGGAAAGGTAGTTACTGGCCCAGGCACAGAACATAATTGAAGACTTGGGTCTCTGGCTCCTGAGGCCTGGAGAGTGCTGCCCGCCCGGGGCTGTGCCTAGCATTCCCTAAGCCAGGGCCCTGGAGTCCTGAAGCCTTGCCTCCGCTTCCTTGTCCTTGTTTTGCAGGGATGTCTGCAGCTGCTGAAGGATGCTCTCTTGTTCCTTCTGCCAATGGCCAGATTTGGTTTCCAGTTCTGCCTTCAGCCACTGGAGGTTCTGACAGGTGGCAGCTAACTGTTCCAGTTCCAGGCCTTTGGCCCTCAGGAGGCCCTCCATACTCTATGGGCACAGACATAGCAAATGTAAGTCAAAGGCACCCATACTCCTCAAGATTAGAGATTAGTCCCACCTTTAACTTACACCCACCTGTGCCTTTTTATAAGAGGAGGAAACACAGAATGTCAAACCAGCATTTTTCTTTAATGTGGTTTGCAGAGAGCTAAATATAGAATGCATGATTGTGGAAAGGGACGTTTCTCTGGAAAAAAAGTGAATGGCTTCTTTAAGAACCGACAGATGGTAGCTAGATACGATCTAAAATAAGTATGCAAAAAAGCTAAAAGTATATGTTAGGAAAAAAAGCAGTCATGTAATGCATTGATATCTATATAATATAAATGAGAAAAACAATATAAAGTATGTGTGTATATGCATTACCCCAGCAATGCTCATGGAAAAGTGTGTGCATATCCATATTAATAGACAAGGATGAGAAGTTAGAACCACATAAACAGCAATCACCATGTACTATTTCTCTATAAGTCCATCATGTAAAAGGAAGAGAACTCGTCGCCTCCCTCTCTACTGGCAGAGGTGGAATGAGAGAATTCTACTTTTCTTTGGTTTTGAAACTCTGGGTTTCAGAGACGAATGAAGAGGCTGAAGGGAGCAGGTTGGATTCGGCTCTTACTTGCATGGTAGTTTCGTTGGCAGACAGGACACTGCGAAGTCTCTCTAAATCATGATCACGCTCTCTCACCGCACGATGAAGCTGCTGCAATTCCTTGTCCTTTTCCTCCAGAGCAGAGAACTTTTCATCTATAGCCCGCTGCAAGGAAAGTAAGGCTCCTAAATTCCAAAGGGTTCACTAAACTATAGCCTTTTATCAATTAGATTCCAAGTGTGAAAGAACAGAGAATGGAAACCCCAATGCAGGCATTTAGACAGCAATTGCAGCTAGGACAGTCGGCAGTGGAGGGGGAGCTGGCTGCTTACCTGCAGATCAGCAGCTCGGTCTTGTATTTGTTGCTGCATTTTCTCAAGCAACACCTCACTTGTTTTGAGAGTTTTGTCTGGGTTATCTCCATGTTGTAGGAGCTCCTGAAGTTCCTAGTAAGACAAAAGTACTTTCTTCATTCCTTTACCTCTTAGCTGAATTTCTTCATTTTTTCCAAGAAATTTGTTATTTAGCACACACACACACACACACTCACACACACACACACACACACACACACACACACACACACACACACACACACACACACAACTCAGAGATAACAGGCACGTAAATTGCTAATGATTCCGCAATAAACACACTAGCAGGGGAGCCAGTCTGCTCATGGAAACACTGGACATACTGCCTGACACTGCCTAAAGGTGCCAGTAAAGATCTCACTAAAGATTTGGAGCTAGGCCTGGTGGAGCATCCCTGTAATCCCAGCACTCAGGAGGCAGAGGCAGGTGGATCTCTGTAAATTAGAGGTCAGCCTGGTATACAGAGCTCCAGGTCAGCCAGGGCTACATAGTAAGACCCTGTCTCAGAACAAAACAAAACCAAATACAACAAAAAGATATTTTCTAAATGAAGATGTGGCATGGGTGCATTTGTGAGGGGGTGGGGACTGTATACAATGGTACGTAAAGAGTCTATGCTCTGAAATTTAAGAGATTCAATGTGCCCAAAGCTTAGAGTAGGTAACAAACAACTGCTCATGCCTCCTAGTGCCCCATTTTTCCCTGAAATTCTCATTCTATCATTGACCTCCGTGGAAGTTCATATCTTCTGTCACGTTTTCATGAAGCAGTGTCTGGCTCAGGGCTATTCTGCTTGCTGAATACTGCCAATGCTGTTTATGTGTGCACAAACAGCTGTTCACTTGTGAAGTTTGGGAAGACTGTATTTTCTACTCATTTTATGCGTTCCGCCACTCTTACACGAGGCACCAGGTAGGCCTTGGGATAGGCATTTGAGAGCTCTGGATGCCTGGCTCTCATCTGAGAACTCACCCGAAGCAATTGCTCTTTGAGATGCAGACTTTGATGTAAGTGTTGAATGTCTTGTTCACGGATTCGAATCTCATTGTATTTTTCCATCTCCAGAGTATGAAGCTGTTGGTTCCTACTGTGCAATTCTCCTTGGAGGTGTTGTAAAGCTTTTCGTAATTCCTGAAATACATACATCCTCTTTTTAAAGTAACCTTTCCATGTGACAATTAGGTATTGAAGACAAGCTGGGCATAATGGCACCCGCCTATAATCCCAGCATCTAGAGGGCCCGAGGCAGAAGGATCTCAAATCCAAAGTCAACCTAGGCAGCATAGTTTGATCTCATGCCCAAAACAAAACAGACAAAAACTACATGATAAAATATAAAGCAGCAGAAAATTCCATTACTTAAATTGATACAGAAAAGTCTATAAGACATAAACAAAATGGGATATGAAAGCTTATGAAAATTATGGAGTAGAAAGTCGATTTGCCAGCGCAGTTCAGCGTTCACTTCCTGGTTTGAAAGAAGAGCTCTGTAGTCTGCTAAGGGAGAGTCTGCACTGTATCCCTGGACTTTTCCTAAGCTCAGTGCTTCTACATTTCCCTCCCCAAAGAATTCAGCTTCTTAGTTTGTATTATACCTCAACCCTGCAGGATATCTGAAATTATAACATTTCCAAAGGAAATTCAGGACTCATAGTTGATTTCTGAACTACTAAGATAGGAGATATAGCATATGCCCTGTGTTAACAAGGCAGAGGAACTATTTAAGAATGGTATAAGACTTGCATATATTTAAATTACATGGCTAATTATACATGCCCTTTCTTACTTTATTCAATGACTTTTTCATTTTAATCTATTTACTTATTTATTATTATGTGTGTGCATGAATGAGTGTGTGTGTGTGTGTGTGTGTGTGTGTGTGTCTGTGTGTTATGCATGTGAGTACAGGTGTGCATGCGTGGAGGTCAAAGGGAACCACATTCAGGAGTTGGTTCTCTCCTTCCAGCACAAGTCCTGGAGTTCAACTGCTTGTAAGGCGTTTCCTCCTTGCTTAGGCATCTCACCTGCCAGCTGACTTTATCCTTTGAGAATGATCTCTCCTCCTTCATGAAGCTTTCCCCATGACTTCTTTCCTTAGCCCCTCCTAGACACTGCGATAGAAACTGCATCTTTGGAAGCATTTGCCCTATTGAAATGCTGTCATGTGACCGCCTCTCCTACTAAACTAAGTAAGTTTATTCTTACTGATATTCAAATTTGTATTTCCACGGTCTGTTCACCTGGTACATGACCCAGGGGCAACAGATACTGAACCAAATTAGACTAAGCAAATGACTCAAGGGTTCAGGTTCAGCACAAACCGTCCAGCTAGAAAGTTCCTGTGGGGCAAAGTCAGCAGTGGGAGCAATAAAATGGTTAATGATTTACCTGGTTATGTTTCCAAGAAGCTTCCTTCTGTTGCTCTGTCTCCTGGGCTGTAGCCTCTACAAACTGCATGCATCGCTTGACATCAGCCAGTCGCCGTTCTTTCTGGCGTACGAGCCTCTGGAGCTTCTGTATTTCAAGCTGGTTGCAGAACAGAGCATTCTGAAGATCAAGCAGGGTCGCCTGTTGCTGAGTTGAGGCAATGCCCTCTGAGCTCTGAAAAGAACAGAATCATAATCATAAACCCAACCACAGGAGGAAAGCCCTGAGCACCTGAGAGAACTGTGCAGCCCAGGGGATGCCAATCCTGCCTGTGGCCCTCACGTACATGAAGTTGTCCAAGCTGGCTTTGGTGCAGCATTTCTCGAAGCTTTGCCATTGTGTCATTTTGACCTTCGACCACCTGGTACAGCTCCTCGGTCTGAAAATGAGAGAGGGATGGCATGCCAACGCTAGCAAACTGCACATACATTACAGTATCTCTCCTCTACACGTGTTAGTAAGAGAATCATTCCAAAAAAAACTACTGAGTGGACATCCACAGTAAGGTTTGCTAGTACGACAGGTGTGACTTCTACAAAATACAGAGTACTTATCTACTTCATAACAGTTTACCTCACTTTCCCTGCTTTTTAGCGATTCCTTGAGGCTTTGAATTGTCACATCTTGCTTCCGGGACGACTCCTGTGCAGATCTTAGTTCACAGCTCATTTCATTCAGTTTCTCTTGAAGAATCTGAATTCAGCAGAAAAACTCTATTAGCACCATGGTGGCTTTTAACCTGGAGGTCACATCTTGGGTTTAGAGAAAGTCTTAGGGTACTTTGTCTTATTTCTTTCCCATGCATAGCAACCGTAAGAGTCTGAATATGAAGAGAGGCTGTAAATATGAAATACTCCCCTCAATGCTCAGACACCCCAGTTCTCATGCACTGCATGTCCCCTCTGTCAACATCCACGCTATTCTTTTGGCTCTTCCATAGGACCAAGGAGTGCCTGCTATCTAGTGTAGGATAAGAGCATACTAGATCAGAAATTCAGGAGTCCCTCTTGGAACAATTGCCTTGTACGCAGACATTAAAATCTATGAGCTATACAGGAATGAGAAGTTACAACTAAAGCCAAAAGCACAACTGGTCTCAGAGCCTTACTATAGAGGTAAGGATTACATAGAAGGTCTAATCTCATTCCTAGATGGCATCATAAATTGGAGTGTATGGAGCAAGCTAAAACCCTGATAGGAAACAAAAGGAGGGTGGGTCTGAGCAAGCTATGAGGACCTGTGTTTGATCCTAGCAGCCACATAAAAAGCTAGGCTTGGAAGGTGTGTGCTTGTAATCCTAACTCCGGGAAGGTGGAAACAGATGGATTCCTGAGCTTGCTGACCAACCAACCTAGACTATCTTTCAAGTCCTGAATCCCAGTGAAAGACTGTCTCCCAATACCCCAAGGTTGACAACTGGGGAATAATACCTGAGACTGACCGCTAGTCTACACACACACACACACACACACACACACACACACACACACACACACACACACACACACACACACACACACCCTGTATACACTCAACTCACACATACACACATAAGAAAGGAAATAAAGATAAAAATGCAGAGTACACTTTTAAATGAACTATTCCCCAGGGAACTGGGGTTGCCACAGTGTTCACCTCCCAAGTCCTACCCAGGATGATGGAGCTCAGGATAGGTGGAGTCACTTCTGACCATACCTTGTTGCTGACCTCTGTTTGCTGGATTTTGTCCCGGAGTTCTTCCAAGTCGGAGTCAGACACAGATTTCTCGATAACAGGCTGGATGGCAGGGGTCTCATCTGAGTCAGGCTTTTGTTGCTTGAGTAACTTCACAGGCTGGGGCTAGGAGGCAGCAGGGAGACAAGCTCACTGAGTGAATGCCGTCAATAACCCATCTGATTTTCGTGTTTACTTCTTTTTCAGAGAGCACTCTTAGCAAGTAGCAGGACTGTCTTCAGAAAGCTGCCTAGTGATTTGTGCAGCAACTATGGTTCCCAATGATCTGAAACTGCCATCCCTACTATGCTCATTGTCATTCCCTCCCTACACATGTTCACAAACACTGCTTTGTCAGGTAAAGCAAGAACTCAGAATTTAAAGAGAAGGGCGCTTTTTAAGAAGGACAGGATTATGACAATCAAATATTTGCTTCATTCCATTTCACTCTATGCTTAACCAGGAAATTAACAAAGGCATCGAAGGGTCAAAGTTATATTCCAATTACCTGTGCTATAATAAGCCTGAAAAACCTGTAGCCCTATTTTAATATGGGCCATACATTAGAAAACAGCATTTCTGGTCATCAAATCTCTTTAATTTATAGCACAGTTAATAAGAGATGTCCTTGTCCTCAAGAAATACATGTGGAAGTATCTAGAGTAAATGGCAAATATCTATAACTATTAATAATTCTCATTTGTTTACAAGGCAAACAAGCAACACTTGGTAAATCCAGGTGAAGAAGCATGGAAGGGTTATGCCCCCTTTTTGTGTCTCTATATACCAAGATTATTAAAAATGAGGGGGGGGTAAAAATAACACATAACCATAACAGGACATGTACTTTCTCAGAATACTCATCCTAAGGCACGTAAGTTGAACTATATTTCAAACTATACCTGAAGATCACGATGAGCTAAAATACTGGATACCTAAGGAATTCATGGTGGCATTAAATCTTCCCCTGTTCCTCTGCCATCCCCTTTCTCATCAGGAAAAGGAAAGAACTATTACTCATGGTTTGAGTTTTGTTTTTCAAGACAGGGTTTCTCTGTAGCTTTGGAGTTGGTTCTGGAACTTGCTGTGTAGACCAGGCTGGCCTTGAACTCAGAGAACTGCCTGCCTCTGCCTCCGGAGTGCTGGGATTAAAAGTGTGCGCCACCAACGCCTGGCTCCAGCTGACTTTAAATATCTTCCTGCAAGGGGCTGTGTGGGAAAAGTCAGGTGCTTCTGTTTCCCCAGTGCTGTTTTTATCACGTCTCTAACACTATAAAATACAGAGCTTGGGGTGAGATTCTGTGGGGAGTACAATTCAGGCAACTATTTAGTTCTGGATCCCAGCAATCTGGGTCTGTTGAGGAAGTGGTCATACCAGAAGCCCATTCATCTTGACAGGTCACACAAACAAGGTTCTTGACAGAGACAAAATTTATCTAGATCTAAAAAGAAAGATGAGATACTGGTAGCTGGCTATGGAGAGTCAGGGAGAATGTTCTGGGTACAGCGATGGATGGGGCTAATGGATACAAAATATCAACTTTGTTACTTTTATAAGCAGAGTGATCTTATAAGTGACTACTCACATCACATCAAATCACTGTTTTCTTTCTTTCTTTTGTTTTGTTTTGTTTTGTTTTGTTTTGTTTTGGGTCTCATAACCCAGTCTGACCTCAAACTCACAACTTTGCTTCTCACCCACTAAGATTACAAGCCTGCACCACCGCATCCAGCTTCAAACCACTGCTAAGAACTAAAAAGGGGCAATTAATTCTGTCAGGAAAAACAGGTACAAATAAGGATGTTTTATTACTTTGTTTATAACCCACAGCTATTTCTGAACAGCTCATTAAAAGGCTGTTTTATCCCCACTACATGAATTGATAAAACAAAATCTTAAAACCCTAAAAAGAATGATGATCAAAGAGGTACTAAGACAGTCTCAAACATAAACACACGGAAGGAAATAAAAACAACCATAAGAGTTCTGAAAGTTGATGGAATGACTCATAAAAAAATGCTCAGATTTCTGGGAGTATCCTCTAGAAACTGGACTTCAATGCTTGCTTTGACAAGAAATGGGCCCACGTACCCTGGCTATGCTTCTTAGCACTGCTCGTTAACCTCAATACATATCTGTTGAGCACCAAGAAGCTCACACTATGTTGAAGAAAAACTACTGCATAGGACAAAATGACTTCTCTTGATGAAGATTTTGTGGCACTTGGATGTGGTGGCTATGCAATAAATGTGGAAATACAGAGAATCAGCTAGCATGCCCTCCCGTAACACAGGAAAGTACTAGGAGAACTGGCTTTTGTTACTTTATATCAGCTAGAGGAGGGTTCCCTTTGAGACAGTATTCAAATGATGTCTGAAGAGGGAAATAGCCAGTCATCCTAAAGGCAACAGGGAATCAAGGCAGGCAGGGAGAAAAGCTGATGGAATCTGAGCTTGGGAAAAGAAAGGCCTATATGTCTAGAAGGGTACATCCCAAGAGAAACACAATGTGAGCCACAAGAATAATTTTTAATTTTCTTATAGCTTCCCTGAATAACTCTTAAAAAAACCCATGAGCTCAGTTTTGACAATTTTGTTTAAGCTAACTTTTAAAAAGCATTTATAATAGAAATCAATAGAAAAATAAGATATCATAAGTCTTAAGTATTTGAAATCTGAGGGCTGTTTTATTCTTAGAATACATTTTATTAGGTTAGCCACAGGTCAAGTGCAAAAGAGGGAGACAGGCTGTTGGTGGCCTTGTTAGAACCCACTGGATAAAGGGCAGAGTAACAGGGTCAAGTGTTAAGGGAGGCACAACCCAGGTTTTATGCTCCTGTACAGCAGGGAGAATCAAGCTGGCTTCATCTAAACTGGAATGAGAACTGTCTACAGTATTTCAGGTACCCACATTTGTTTTAAATTTGGTGGTGCTGGGTATCAAACCCAGGGCCTTGTGCCGTCTGGTCCCCAGCCCTGACTGCAGTGTTTCCTATCAGAAAAGCAATCATTTACTTGTTTAAAGGCTCACTCCAGCTGCTCGGTGGTGATGGGCGGTTAGGAAGCCCCAGCGGTAAGGAGCTGAGCCGGGATGCAGGTGAAAGGTGGCTGGATCGTAAAGACAGACGTGAGGAGGTAAGTAGAAGGACTTGGTACAGTTCATATGCTGTTGCTCCAGACAGCTGGAGGCAGGAGAAGGATGATGACTCCCAGAAATACTTGGGATATTTGTTGTGAATACAGGATGCCTCCCCTGAAGCAATATGAATTACGTCACATACATACCACAAGAGATGACTGAAATAGATACAATTCTAACGGACAAATGAAATTGTCAGTGATTCTACGGTAAAGCAGCCTCTCCAAGACCTGGATTTTTGTTTCTTCGGTGTAAAGTAATTCTCCAGTAATGTCTACTCCAAGTCTGAAATCTCAATCACAGCAAGCTGAATTGAAGAAACTAACTCCAGGACTGGCTACAGTCCAGCTGCTATGTTTGCCCGGCATGCACAAGACTTCAGGCTCCACCCCTAAATCTCTAGTTCTGGCTATCAGGGGATAGTGTCAATGTTAAAATGGCAGGAAGGCAGTTGTATTTATTCACTTTAAATCGAGACCTTAGGGTTCTGAAGGAAGCAGCAAACTAACCAGCCATCCCAATTCCACTTTACATACAAGGAAACGGAAAGCTACATAAGGTAGGTTAAGATATTCAAGTGACAGAAAAGTCAAGAAGTGTCCAGGAGAACCAAACTGCCGTTGGTGATGCAGCGTTTAGTTCTATGAACCCACTGCTCACCATACCGTCAGGAACATTTTAGGGATCAAAGGTTTGAGCTTAATGAATAAGACCAATAAAAACAAGACCAAACTAAAACAGGCCTGTCTCCTACTTTACAGGCAGCCCTCTTAGAAGCAAGAACATTTACTTGTATATGTTTATCTAAACATCCATGATTATATTCACAAATGTGTGGTTCCTATGCCTCCATATACATAAACACAAGGATACAGGAGCAGCAACTCTGATGCAGAAGGCTGCCACAGGCAAGGAATCTGCATCTCATTTGAACAGTCTCAGTCTGAATTACCGGAAACTTCTGATTCTGTAAATGACCTATTTAAAACACGGGAGGAGTTTGTCTCTCTTTTCTTCATAATTTATTCTTTTACAGCAGAGAAAATGCCTTTTCAGAGAAGCCCAAAGGGCCTCTAGTAAGTTTCTCTGAGTCGGGAATGTGTACTAAGCTCTTATGTACTAAGCACATAAACTCAAGGGTCCTGGGAAGATTCTACAGAGCCCAATGTTAGTGATCCTTACTTTAGTAGCATTAGGGTCATTCCTGATACTTGGCTCCTAAGACAGTGACCTAACCACAATATCCTTTCATATTAATCACTTTCAAGACAGAATTAGTATACATTCTTTATCGATCTGAAAAAGCAGAGCAACATCCAGGCCGAGAGTGTACAACTCAAGGCTAAAAAGCAGTGTTTTGACCTCTGCATTAACAACATTTTTCCTGGCGTGTTCGAATCCTAATAGTGAGTCACAGACCTCAAATTTTCTATCCTGTTGTTCATCATCAGAGACCAACAAGAACCATCAGCTAGCATAAAAGTAAAGGTCTAACCTTTGCTACTCTCTAATGTCTATATTCCCCAAATGGCCTCATCTACCTAAATATACAGCAAAGGTGTAAGGGGGACAAATTTACAAGAGTCCCAAAGGAGAAGAACTCAGCATTGTAAGGTTTGAAGCAAAGGTATGCTCTTTGAATTTGGTCAGAAAGGAGCCTGTATGCGGCTCAGAGCTCTGTGAATTGCTGTTCACTAAGGGACCACACCCCCTTATCATAGCTTTTCTGTTTCAGGACCAGACAATGAAGAAGGAAATTACTACCCAGAACAAGATGGCTAAACTTTTCTGCAGATAATCTGAAGAGCCTGGGTCCACAGAAGGCAAATAAATGATTTGCATAGTATCAGTAAGCCTGTTGCTGTTTATCTAATATAAGGAAGAAGACATGGGGTGGGGTGGGAGAGAAGGAAAGCCATCAAGAAGAATGTCATGCTGATAGTTACTATACATACAATGGGCTAAGTGGAAGATTAAACAAAAGAATCTAAATGACTAAACACAAAGGCCTTTCAGGTTTCCTTCCTAGTGTAGGAAACATTTTGTTTCCAAGGTTCTTGTATCTACAAAATAACAAAAACATTTTATTTTCCCTACATGTGCTCAGAGAAACAGATAAAAGCTGGTCTGTCCATGTCCCACCTAGCTTTGGTTTTACCCTATAGCACAATAGCTCTTAAAGAGATTAAAAGTCAATTAGACTTAATCAATTGATCACAGGGCTAGAATAAAATACATATTTTGCTTATAAACACTTTGAGCTCAGTGTAACTATTTTATCCTGTATCTTTAGTTATTAGAGAAAACATAGTAATTATACACTCTTTCTTGAAGCTCAATCTCATTTTCTCACCTCCCAATGGCTTATTCTTCATACAGCACATAATTAAGTCATGTAACATGAAGGCCATATCCCACTAGTTTAAAACTCTAATGTCCACAGTTACTATAATAAAGGGATTTGATCTAAGGATACAATTACCATAGTTTACACACTTATTCAGTTTTCTTTATAGAACCCCCCTCCAACTGCTCCTGGAATCCTTGGGATGCAGAAAGAAGATTCTTGGTTTAAAACAGATTAAGTTGATGTGCTGCAGACAATGTAATTAAATGTACAAAATTAAAAGGTCCTGGCTGAAAATGGTGAGGGATCTTTGGCTCTGTAAGGGCTCATACTTAAACTTTCCAACATTTCTAACCAAGGGATGCTTTTGAAAATCCTTCCCAACTCCAAAATCAGCTGAATCCAGGCAAAATACCAAAAGGTATTTTTCAATTAAATATGGAGTAAAAATATTCTTGTTTTCCCTGGAATCTTCAGGTCTTCAGCTAGTTGCAGTATTGGCCATAGTTGAAAGACAAAAACAACTTATTTCTCCATCATGACCAGGCTATTTTCAGATCCTAATAGGAGAATGTCATGTTTAATTAGTAGCATCTATGTCTCGTCACAGAAACACTGTTTGGGCCAAGCATAGAACTAAGGCTCCATTAAACAAAGAAAAGAAGTAGCCAGAATGCCAGGCATGTAATGCTGAACACTTCACACAAATGAAAGCCCTGTGATGCATACATTTTAAAACATTTCTTGTGCTCTCTGCTAAAGTTCTTACTGGCATACAAATTTTACATGCAGCCTAATTATGCCTCAAAAATCCCATTGAATTGGAAACTCAACTTCACCAGACTGTATGTCTCTGGACTCCAGTTGACTGAAGATTAAGCTTCCCCAGTGACTTCTACATTATCCACCTTTGCCAGTGTGTCAGGATGTTTAACAAAGTTAACTGAATCTAGCATTTAGTATTGCTGTGGAAACAAAGCAGCATCTGCCAGGTCCCTGTAAACAGCCGAATTCAAAAGGGTGCTCTGAAATCAGTTCAGCAGACAGGAATAGCTCAAATTAAGTTCAACTGTCATTCTCCAGTAATTACGAAAGTCAAAAATACGGTGAGTGAATCCCTTTCTAACAACTATCTTCCAGTAGGGCTCAGTAGAAAAACTGCCTGTGCAGTTTTCACCTTAAATTTATTAGTGACATTTGAATTCCCAAATACCTTCCACCAAAAAGTCACCATTAGCTCTCAAATGACCGTTAATTATAACAAACATTGCCCAGATGTTCTTTTGATGGATTAATAGGTTTTACCCTATGTGACCCGTTTTGAGCCACCTGGGGGATGAAAAGCTAAGTGCTCCAGGGAGAACTGGCCAGGAGCTAACTCTCTTACAGAAAGACAATGGAAAATATTACTCACAAAATTTAAACACAAAAATGGCAAAAAATCAAGGGGAAAGGGGACTTCTGGTGCCGAAAGTGTGACGAAATATCTTCTTTCTGTGGGAAAATAATCTTTATCTTTTGGTATGTAAAAGATAGGTAATTTGACAATAGAAAAATCAATGCCTAAAAGGTTTATGAAAACCAATTTATCTAAGTGTAAATCACATTTACTAAATGGGGCATGAGCAAAAAGTATAGTCAAAATGGGCTTAATGATTAATTTTTTTCAATCCTAGAACATTATTATCCTGAAGCTAAACAAATGACGGGAAGCCTCTGGACAGCTCATCAGAGAGGCCCCACGTGTCGCCATTGTGTATACCTGGAACTGAAGTGGCAAATACTCTTCATAGAGATCATCCCACAGCTCCTGTAGGTCTGAGAGCTCCAAAGGATAACTCACGGGTGTCAAAGGCCTGTTAAGGAAATTGGAACTAACTCCATTTGTCATGATATGGCCAGGCTTGGCTCCAAGTGGGCTGGATTTCACTGGAATTGGAAGCTTGCTCCCTCGGGGACTTTGAAGGGGCTTATATTCAAGACCTTTAATCATGCTAAGAGCTAGCTCCAGTTTGTGGTTACAAAAATGGTGTGGCGCCTGTTCATCGGAACAATAGTCACACTTTGGAAGTTCTTTCGCACTTCTCTCCGTTTCCTCGTCTTTCTGTTGTGGAGGACTGGCCTGGACACTAGCATCTAAAGATTCCACAGAGGAACCTGGCGTGCCTTCCTCCATGCTTTCTCCATCCGGGGGTACTTTTGTGCTTGCTAAGTCTGGTGGCCCAACCTCTGACAATGCCGGTTCTTCGGTGCAAATGCTGGCGGAGTACCTGCTAGAAGGGGCATAAGAAATACTTCTGGCCACTTTTCGAGGCACCTTACAAATGGCTTCATAGTCAGAATCCGCAACCCGCAAAGAGGCACAACCACGGCATCTCCTGGGTCGGTTTCCGGGGCCTTCAGAACCATGACAGCTGTGGGACTCCTGACTCTGTTCCTCATTTTCTACCCAGCACTCAAACCCTGAATAGGCAAAGTCTTCCTGGAGCAGTGCAGAGTACCTCATATCTGGCAAGCTGGAAATGTCAACAGTCCCACTCCCCGCCTTGATCTCCTCGCCGGAGTCATCGTTATTCTTCCGATACATACTGGCAATGCAGAACTTGAGGCGATCCTTTTCCAGCAGCAGCTTCTGCAAGCGCTCAAGAGAAAGGGCTTCGATCCTGGCAATAACAGTATCGAATCGATAGATGCGATCGAGCATGAAAGCACACTTGCTGCAGGCAAACTCGGCTCTGCCATCCCGAGTGACATCTTTGCCGAGGACGTACGAGAGCAGAACCTGGAGGTTGAGCTTGGACGCTGTGTGGAAGATCCAACGCCGCTGGTTTCCGCACAGCTCCCGGGCACAGATCCTGCAAATCTCTTTCATCTTTACTCCGGGAGAGTGCCGAGTTTCTTTCTCGGTAACGGCTCCAGCCACGAGTTGCTCACTGGCTCCGCGATGCGTGTCTCTCCCCACCTTGATTGTCTGTGGCTGGCATGGCCCTGCCCCGGGTCCTCACTGGGTAGGGGTCCACCTCGGAGCGCGCAGGCTCTGGGTACCACACGGCCAGCCCCGCCCCTCGGGCAGGGGGCGGGCGCCGAAGCACCGAGGGGGATGCTGAGTGACAGGATGCGAGCTGCGCGCGGACGCTGCCAAGGCCCCCACAGCTGTCTCTCTCGCGGGCCGCCGCGTCCTCTGCGTCCTCCCGGGCGGGCAGGCTGGGCTCTGGGACAGTAGCGGCGGCTCAGGGCTGACGCAAAACCCCGGCGATGAGGCATCAGATTTCAAGATGGCGTCGGGGCAGGCGGCCTCCGTGAGACTCCTCTGGGAGTTGTAGTCCGACCGCGGCGGCTCTGCGCATGCGGGCTGGCGAGCACCTCGCCTCCGCCCTCAATCCAGTCTCTCCCGCTATCCCGGTAACGCAGACTTCGCTCCGAGTGGAGAGTGGAAAGCCGGCTCTCAGGCCAGTGCCTGGCTGCTTTACTCTGATGAGGTCCCCCCGAACGCACGCTCTGATCCCTTCAAGGAATCTCCCTCATCTGCTGGATGCCTCGAGGCTCCTCCCAGGGAGGAGAAAGCCCAGTCCCCTCCCCGTCCGTCCACGGCCAGTGCCACGTATACTGTGGATGTGGCCTGGCGGTGCCACTAGGTACCGCTGTGCCACCGTCTTCCCCTGCCGCCGCCACCCCACCTCCACTCCTAATTCTGTTAGTCTCTGGTGTCAGAAGGCCCCGGGGCGCAGAGATGGGTGGGGAGGACCTGATAGCTAGAGGAGGCAGGTAGAGTTTGCCAAAGCCAAGCTAAGGCTGAAGCTTTCCGACTATTGGATGAATCCTAGGAAGGAGACTCGAGGTTCTGCCATCGATGTTGGGGGATGGGTGGCTAGGGCTGGCCGACCTAGGTGTTTTGTCCTTTTAAGGAGTAGGGATGAGGGGGACGGACAGTGCACAATGCAAAAACCTGAGAGGGAATCCAGCAAACTCCAGGTGACTGCACCTGTTAATCAAGATTTCAGAGATAACAAGAGAAAGAGCTTTGTCAAGCTGGAGGCCTCCTGAGAGGAGAAGATTATCACGAATTCTCTTTCTGGTTCAGGTAGCTTACTTTTCGAAATGGAGATGGGAGACAGACGTTTCTTTGAGAGTGTTTTCAACTCAAGTACTTCAGAATCAGGGCTGGAAATTCACTGGCAGTGCTAGTACCAGGTTTTTACTACGTACTGTTAAGTTCCCCACCGTTGTGGACTGAGCTTCACACACAAAGCAGGGACTGGATGGGATGCAGTTAACACAAACTGTCGCGGGTAAGAATTCACTTCCTGGCTGGAGAGGCAAATACCTCAGGAGGAACCCTATCCCCAGCAACCACTTAAACTTCCCCCAGAGCAGGAACTCAGGTCCCTAAGGACTTTTAAATTCTAATATTGCGAGACTGGGGCTATTGTAATTATTCTAGCCACCTAACCAAAATCCTGCAGCTTTGATGCAACATAACTTTGCATGTACAATTTCACCTAAAGACACAGAGTCTCATCCTCTAGCCAAGACCATAAAATGGGATTCCAAGTAAACAGCTGCAGTTTTGTAGCCTCTGGGTATATGAGCTTGAACGTCATAAGACACTGGGCAAGAATCTTTGAAATCTACAGGAGTTTCTGGACTAGCCCTGACTGATGGACAGGAAGCATGCTACTCCCACCTAGAGAAAATACCCCCAAAGTACATTGAAAAATAGATAGTGAGCTATCACACCAGAACTAGCCCTAACATGATCATCGGTATTTACAATCACTTGATCATAGTCAAAAGGTAATGAAGGGTAGATAACAGAACTTGAAGCTTAAAGTTTAAAAAAAAAAGCTTAAAAGAAACGTTATAATAAGTTTAGTAACTTATGATTCTTATCGTCATCTTCATCACATTTGTAGTTAGCAGTGACTCCTTAAAAGGAAGGAAGCAAAATGGAGTGGGAGGAACTAAATGCAGACATGTCATCCTATAGACTATGAATCATTTGAATTTAGACAAGTGAATATTCAGGTATCACCTTTGATTCTCTGGTTTTTTTTCATTAAATATTTTCTTTTAAAACTTTTTTTAGCTTAAAAAAAAAACTGTATGTGCATGAATGTTTTGCCTGCATGTATGTATATGTGTCTGGTGCAAGTTCTGAAAAGGGAGTTGGTTTCCCTGGACCGGAAACCTGAAGTTCCAGATGGTTTTAACCATATAAGTACTGGGAGCTCAACCCACATCCTTTGCAGAGCAACAGGTACTCTTAACAGCTGGGTCACCTCTCCAGCCCTAATGTTCTTCTAATTTAGAAAAGATCCCGCGCATAAAGCCAAAGGCTGTGCCAGTTTAACATACCAGGTTCTACTCAGATCTAAACCATAAAACTTGAAACTGAAAGGAAATGCTTGGAACTTGCATGATATACACACAGTGTGGGCAACTCAATACAGACAAAGGCTCACATAGGGATATACAAATTAATAGTGGTTATATCTGAGGACTGAAAATGGATCCTTGCATTCCTTTTCCCTCATTTGGGTTCTATAATTTTTCATAATAAATTTTCAACACGTTGGGATAAGAAAAAATAGTTTCTTTAAAACAAAGTAGGATGCCAGGCTTAGTGGCACATGCTTTTAATCCCAGCACTTGGAAGGCAGATCTCTGCAAGCTTGAGTCAACATTTTAAGTTCCAGGCCAGCCAGGACTACATAGTGAGACCCTGTCTCAAACAAGATAGGATAAACATGTTCTTGTATGTTTGTACAATGCAACACTACCCAGCAATGAAAATGAATTGGCTCTGATGTGTGTTCCATGCATGGATCCCAAAAATTGATAATCAAGAAGTTACATACATATCAAGTGTATCTTGTGTGATTCATCTGAAGTAAAAATAAAATAAATAAATAGAAAAATACATCTATTATGATAGAAGTCAGGAATGGTTTCAGGATGAGAGAGTGAAAGCTAATTTCAAAGTAGGATGTGCTAGCTAGTTTTATGTGAATTTGGAATAATCTAGAGTATCAGAGAGGAAGGATCCTCAATTGAGGAAATGCCTCCATAAAATCTGGCTGTAGGCAAGCCTTAGGGCATTTTCTTAGCTAGTGAGGGCCTAGCCCATTGTGGGTGGTGCCAGCCCTGGGCTGGTGGGTGGTCCTGGGTTCCATAAGAAAGCCAGGAGGAGCAGGCCAGTAAGCAGCCCCCTCCACGGCCTCTGCATCAGCTCCTACCTCCAGGTTCCTGCCCTGTTAGAATTCCTGTCCTGACTTCCTTCAATGGTGAACAGTGATGTGGAAGTGTGAGTCAAATAAACCCTTTCTCCCCAGTTTGCTTTTCATCATGGTGTCTCATCACAGCAATAGAAACCCTAAGAAGACAAAGACATTTTCTGGGGCAGTAAAGACTTTCTCTGCCGTGTCTTGAATGATGGGTACATGGGTTTGTGTAGCTTCCAACACTCATGAAACTGAGCACTGAGAGTTGTAGATTTGATGTTAGTATGTGGTAGTAAAATGAATATGCAGATATGCAGTGCCTAAATGCTTTTAATCTTTAACAGAAAACAATCCCCACTTTAGCACAGAATAGCTTTGAACATTGGGTAGATAAAACACAGTCTCGAAGACATTCTGTAAATGGCCCAATTGGAAATGAAAAAAATGTCTGGTTCTTGTTTAATGTGGACTTTAGAAAACACAGTTTCATATATGTGCATCCCATACATTTAAGACTGAAGCAATGTATGTGATTAAGGTGGGATGGAAGATTTTTGTGATGATTTAATATAGGATGATCACTTCCAAAACTCACTGAATGCACATAATAGGAAACTTGAAAATGGGTTTCATATTATGGAGTTTTAAGTAAGTTATCACTGGGCTATATCAGTAGTTTGTCCTAAAGACAATGGAATGACAACAAATGGGGTGTGGAGGCTCGTGTCTGCAATCCTAGCCTGTGGGAGACACAAGCAAGAGGATAAGGAGTTCAAGGTAATCCTCAGCCACATAGTGATATACATAGTGACTAGCCTTGACTACATTAAGACCGTATCTCCAAGAAAGAAAGAAGGAATAAAAATAACTGGTGAGCACATTCACAAGCATTTAGTAACTTGGTAGTTACGACTTAGGTGGCTAACCTTAGGGGAAGTCACTTACATCTGGTCCTTAGATTCCTAACGGACAATATGAAGTTTTAAAATACAAGTTTTCAGATTTCAGTATCCCATCAGAATGAGGTGTGGTGTGGGGTATTAAAATACAGATTGGGTTGCTTGGACTTCCTAAAGAATTCCCAGATCTTACTGATGCTGTTGTCTGAGAGCTGTGCTTTGAAAATCACTGAACTATATATAACTACTAAGTTGGATTCAGAAAGACCTCAGTAAAAATATCAGAAGTTTACAGAGGCTAGAGAAATGGCTTGGTTAGGAGCATTTACCGCTTGCGAAGAGCACCCAAGTTCAGTTCCCAGCACCCACATGGTGCCTCACACCTTTTGTAATTTCAGTTCCAGAAAATCTGATTCTCTCTTGTGATCTCCATGAGCACTGCACACATGTGGTGCCTAGATATACATGCAGACAAAACACTCATGCACACACAAAAAACATTTTTAAAGGTAAAAAGGCCAGAAGTTATATAGATAAATGAAAAAAATCTGTCAAAGAACTACTCACAAAATTAATGTTGAACTGCTGGCAGTAGTGGCACGCCTTTGATCCCAGCACTTGGGAGACAGAGGCAGGCAAATCTCAGTGAGGTCAAGGCCAGCCTGGTCTTCAGAGTGAGTTCCAGGACAGCCAGGGCTGTTACACAGGCAAACCCTGTCTCAAAAAACCAAAACAACACAAAAATTAATGTTGAATTTAAAAAAACTACACAGTAGTTGGGGGGGGGGTGGCTCATGCCAGTATATTATCCCAGCACTCATGAGGTTGGGGCAAGAAGATTGGATTGACACTGGTTCAAGGCCCGCCAGTACTTACATTGTGAGTTCTAGGTTACTCTACGCTACAGGGGGCAACTCTGTCTCAAAAAATTAGAAAAAAAAGGGGAAGAAAGGAAGGAGGGAAAGAAGGAAAGAGAGAATGAATAAATGAAGGAAGGAAGGAAGGAAGGAAGGAAGGAAGGAAGGAAGGAAGGAAGAAAGGAAGGGAGGAGGGAGGACTATATTCCCATTGTGGTGGTTTTGCTGTGGTAACATTTTATTTGTTCTGTTTTGATGTTGGTACCATCCCTGTTTAGGTATTAGAGTCTGAGAAGTTTCTCTTGGAACTGCCATCACTTTCATATCCATTGTATGGCAATAAAGCTATTTCTAACATCTAATTCTGCCTTGGGAGGGAGTTTCCAAGGGAATGAGAAGTGGGAAACCCCCATGTTCTAAACCAGCTGTACTGGGTTTCATTGCTTTAACTGTTCTAACTAAAATTCTTCCCCACTGAGAAAATAGTTCAGGCATATAAGATGAAACAAACAAAACAAAGGTGGAGGA